TCATTACTGTCTGTCCTGCATCTCTCTCTGTCTCTGTCTCTCTTTATGTCTCATTGTGTCATACGGATTACTGTTAATTTATTATGCTGATCTGTTCTGTACGACATCGATTGTACGTCTGTCCGTCCTGGAAGAGGGATCCCTCCTCAGTTGCTCTTCCTGAGGTTTCTACCATTTTTTTCCCGTTAAAGGGTTTTTTTTGGGGAGTTTTTCCTTATCCGCTGTGAGGGTCCAAAGGACAGAGGGATGTCGTATGCTTTAAAGCCCTGTGAGGCAAATTGTGATTTGTGATATTGGGCTTTATAAATAAAATTGAATTGATTGAGGCAGACTGACAGGTCTGATATGTCTTATTCACTCAGCAGCTGACTTGTTGAATGATGGCGAGTGGATTTAATAATAGTGATAATAATGATGATAATAATAATGATAATGATGCTCATCACAGTGACATTGGCAGGGCTACAGACCGTTCTTTAATTGCCACAAACTTCGGCAAATGACTCAATAACAATGGTAATACATGCAAAAGTGTGTGACCAAAGTCATGACGACGTTACAGCTTTGATCAGCGAATATAATGGGACTTGGGATGTACGCCAAACGCTGGCTCCATTATGCAGCAGATCCAGCTGTCGCACCGTCACCAGAATAGGACGTCGCTTTATGTGACGTTTCAGAGTAAGGCCGTCTCATGTCTCTTAATCAACAATCCTCGCTCCTCACTCCTAACTCCTGACTCCTTAAATGTTTTCCTAAGTGGGAGGGACTAAACAGTTAGATAAGGTGGCTAGATAAGGTGGTTAGCAGTAATTTTAAGAGACTTGGGATGCAGCCCTGGTGTGTGGACTGCTGGTCCTGCTGCCTCTCATTGAGGGATTTTGGTTGTCTTGTTTGCCTGTTTTAATTCTAATAAATCCCATGGATTTGAGTGTTTTAAAGGTGTTCATGTGATTATTATGGGTCAGTGTTGGAGATTTGTCCTCCTCATAGGGCCGCCTAAGGGTGGGGCATAACACTATAACTATAAATCAACTATTCTATAATAGAATATTATTTTACTGTATATATAGATAGGCAATGCTGATTGATGGGTATTATATACGTTGATGTTAGTCAGTGCCAAGTGTCTGATCATATGGTGAGATGATATATGCACGATAGCATGCACTGGGGCCCTCTGTAACTACCTTACACCACTGAGTGACACTAAGGTCCTCTAGGAACATGTTAGTTTTGCTGTATCAGCATTATGTCTTGTATATACTGTCCTGTTATTTGTCATTGTGCAGGGCGACTGCACTAGTTTCCCCTCTGAGGATTAATAAAGTAACCTAATCTGATTTCATCTAATGGGATTTAGATGTTTATCCATCTGTGTGCCACGTATGTGCACAATGAAACAATGCCTGTAGCTGTGTCTCAAATCCATACTACACACCAATTCTCTGCAGGTCTTGAGCATGACGTGTGTTCACACTACAGAAAATATGGATGTTTTAAACTGGTTCACCACTGTGAACACACAAAGGCAGAGCTATGTATACCTATTATTTTCATCATATTAATGAAGCCTTGTGAACACATTCTTCTAATTCTCAGTCCTTGGTGAACTGTGTGCATGTGCACGAGTCTGATTTTGCGCTGCCATAGTTCATCATAATGGGAGCTGTGGTGACCCCTGCTGTTATCTCCTGGCAGTTTCTGTGTGCTCTATGGCAGTTTACTGTTGGTTGTCACATCATAGGGCTTATTGCCCAATTCCATTATTTCCCAAGATCGATCTTTCTGCCCAGACTGTTCATGTTTGAAGTGATTCATATCTGATGTCAGTGTGAACAGATCTCTGCCCTGAAATGCCTCACATTAAACCAATAACATCACACACATGAGTTGGAACAAAAATAAAAACAAATGTCACATCTGAGCGACAGGCCTTTGGGGAAAAAATTAATCACATAAAACAAATCAAAATTTGCAGGGCTATATAACGATTTCTCTATCGGTGCCTCATGAAAACACTGTCACAGAGTGTAGGCAAGCTGTACCGGTCAGAGGGCGTCTGGCAATCAGGCTCTATAAGCTGTCTTCTGTAGTTTCAATGGACCAATATGACACTGTGCTGTGAGTGATGCGTGTGTCTGCGCAGTGTAGTATGACAGGACAAAACCATGGATGTGTGGGAAAAACACACATGAATTACAATATGACCATTCTCACACTGGTTATGTGGCCAGTGATCACACATGTATACAGATATATATCTCTTTCTCGCTCTGTATCTAATGGGATGGTACCTTGTATAATATTAGGCAGTTCTAACGGTTTTTTTTAAAATGAAAAATGTTTGTGACTTTCTCCTGAACTGCCTCCCAAATAAGGCTGCACAATTAATTGAAATATTATTGAAGTCTCAATATGGCCAAGTGAAACATCCAAAGCAGGAGCTTCAAGTTTTTGATGAAGCTAAAGTGTGTCACAATGTAGCATTTTAAATAAAGCACTGTGGTGCTACAGCGAGGCCCCAGCCTACAAATCATATTCCAGATGTAAGGGGACATGCTTGTACAGACCCCAGCAAAAATCACATCATTATTTTGTTTATTTTTTTCAGTGAAAATGAAATGCAAAAATTACCAAATGGTGACTCATGTCACAACTGCAGTATTTGTCAGCCCTGCTCCCAAGTATGTGTTGATTGCCACATTGCCACTGTGTAGACTAAAAGAAGTGGCACAACCAGTAATATTAGCCACCAACCAGAACAATGTTTGTGTGCCGAGACACTTCGAGAGGTGCGTGAACACCGTGGGAGCGTGCACAGTGAGAGTGTCAGATACTTAAACCAATGCTCCATAATGCACCTTAGACTAGGTAGATGTGTACTACTACTACTACTTAAGGAATATAGTCGAAAGCATGCTAGGAAGAGAAATGGACCCTGTAACAACTGCAAACCTATTTTTAAACTCAATTTTAAATCATTTTAAATAATCTTTTTATCTTTGCACCTCGTGTCTGCACATTTTTAATGGTGATTTTAAAAAAAACAACTATTTACTACTTAATTTTACCCTTTATATCTTTTTTTTTCTCTTTCCTCTTGTAAATCCGTATCGTTTATTATGTTTAGTATCTTATTGCTCTGTAAGGCACTTTGAATTGCCCTGGTGTATGAAATGTGCTATATAAATAAAGCTGAACAAACAATTGTACGTGGTATAATAACTGCCAACCTCCACCTTGAAACCAGTATAACGTTGCAACCCTAAGCTTTATACACTGTTTGGTGGACTAATCTAGAACAATTCATCATATTTGTTTAAGATGATCATATTTTTGGGTCTTTATCTAAAAAGCAATTAGTAGAGGAGCCTCTACATGGACTCCAGGATACCTCAAGTACAGACAATGTACTACACTCTACTGCTGGAAATACAGGATGAGGTAAAGTCTCTGACATTTACAACAAAGACAAACGTCAGAGGCCCTCAGGGTAAACCTTTAGCATACTTCAGAAAGAGCAGAGTGGGTGGAGGCCTGAGGAGCAGGCACTGTTGATCGTCCCACTGCAGTTTGGAGGAAATACTCAGATCTTTTGCTACTGTAACTTAAAAGTAGCAATACCACAGTGTGGAAATACAATGTTACAAGTAAAAGTCCTGCATTCAAAATTTTAGTTAAATAAAGTATGTGAGGTCACACATCTTCACCACACCTAATCCAAAATCAATGTGGTGTAAGTGCTGTATGGATGGCTTTTGTGCATACACACTGTGTATCCATCTGGCGCAAGGGCCCGGTTGTTCAACAGTAATCTGATCAGATTTTGAACTGGATCAAAACTTGAAAATGGGTTGTTCAAAAGGAAAAAAAAAAGGATTCTGAAATTGGATTAGATCACCTTTACATCCAGTCTTGGTTTTGATATGGATCAAACGCTCAGTATGAGCTGTTTTGGTGGACTGGGATACCTTTGATCCAAAAAATAGGGATCATTCTGATCTCAGCAGAGGGCTAGATTCAGGGTGGAAAAAAATATACATTTATTTATATACTGCATATGATTTGTGATTTTTTGAACAATTACTGTGATAAAGTAGATAAAACAGACCTTAGCCCAGTGGTTTCCAACTGGTGGGTCGCGGGTCCACGACTAGAATAAACCACAACTGACGCGTTAATGTGTCAAGTTTATAAAAAAATACACTTTATTTTTAAGTTTTCCGACATAGACCTATTATTTTGAAGTGTTGTTTCCCTCTGTAGAGTGAGTGAATAAAAGACAGCTACTTAAAAGAGACAGCAAACTAGCAACAAGTATGATGCTGAATATATTAAACTGTGTGGACCTTGAACTAATGACTGAGGAGAAATCTGGACCCTGTGGCTGGACCAGTTGGGAACCACTGCTTTAGCCTATCTATTTAATAATAGAAGTGTGTTTGTTGACAGACTGCCTACATTGTGATGTGTAGTCCTATTTATCACTGGTTATCCGGAGTTGGTTATCTTGAAACGTTTGTATCTGGATCAAGGTGATCCAATCCAATGTTAATTTGAAAAACCAGCACAAAAGTAATATGGATTATCTGATCCTGGACAGCAAAACATGAGATTTCCAAATCTGGATCATTCTGATACAGATTACAATTTTTTAACAACCAGGCCCAGGACATGAAGAACCTCCTCTAAACCTTTTTTCAGACAAGTGAAAACACTGAATAGATTCCTTTTACAGTTTTTACAGTCCACATCCCACCACCAGACCTGATTCCATAGCGAGTGAAGACAGGGATGGAGTCCAGAGCATCCTTCTCCACCTGTGTGTAGAACCTTTGGAGGTGTGCTGGCAGTGTTGGGCAGCTGTGTAAACCTGGCTCCACTGGAACACGAGTGTATGGAATCTTGAGATCCGAAAGGACCTGTGCAAAAACCTCCCGCACCTCTGCAACACACAGTGCAACAACATCAATACCCTCGGCCCAGACATTATTTTATCAACTTGATGACTACTACTACTGAACACACACATGCTCTAAAAGTATTCATGATATAGGCTAAAATCTATCCACCTTATTCCTAGCCCCCATGATCCCTTGCACAAATTTTGTGTGTGACATCTGGCTTTGAACCGAAACCGGCAATTTCCAATGGTAACAGTGTTTACAGTACTCTATTCTTCTTTCCAAGAGCAACTGGGAAATAAAACGCGGAACACACCACCTGTTATAGCTCAGACGGGATTATGTGATCATACCTATGCCATCTCTGACAGCCGTCTTAAAGCACTGTTGTCGTTGTTTTTTCCTTTTTCAACCGCGCATGCTAGCAATTAGCTTGCCTTGCTCCGCTAAAATATTGTTAAGTTAAACATGGCCCGAGCTAGCTTAAGGTAAACATCTGCTCCTTCTAAAGATGATTTCTGATTTCTGATGACTTATTAAGAGATACTAACACAACTGGCAAACATTTAACATAATTCAGTATTAACTGTAGCTCCATGTAAAGTGAATAAATGTGATATTTCCCTGCTAATCCTCCGCTCCTCTGCGTTAAAGACGTAGTTTACATGTTTTTTTTTTTTTTAGTTCAGATTTATTAAAAACTGTGTTCTGAGCAAAACATGATGCTGAATTTAGAAGCAGACTTCAGTAATACTAATATTAAGTAGTAGTAAAAGAAATAACTTTTGGCATTCATTTTTTTAATATGATATAAAGGAAGTACAGTAAATCAGTCAATCAACTCATTCTCAGCCCTAATGACTAAATACATATTTGGAGGTATGTTGCTGAGCTTATTTTATAACGAGTAATTTTCCTATGTAGGTTAAGCATGAATTCAGACGAGGAAACATAGGGATATCATGTACTGACGTTGAGTGACGGACCTGTCGGCCTAGGTGTCATTCTCTTCTGCAAATTCTGATTTAATACTTTTTCGCTATGTCTTGTGAAACTCTTGTGGTTTTATTTCTTATATCAATGGTACCTTTGGCAACAGGAACAATCCCTTTTTGTTCTGGTTACATGTTCAAAACACAGTTGCTGAAGACCAAAAATCTATCTTAGAGTGGTTGTTAGTTGTTACAGACACGGACAGTGCAACAGGTACCAGAGCTCCGCAAAGACACTTTAGAAAATGCGAAGTTAACATTAGTTAAATATTTGTAAAATTAAAATAATAAATAAATAAATCAGTATTTGCTAAACTGAAGGCAAATTACTTTCGTATAGAACCAGCGTTGGCGGTTAGCCACCAAGAGTAGCCACTGAGACTAACCACAGTCTATGGGACTAACTAGCTTACTGTTACTTCCGCTATCTCACTGGAAGTTGTGCACATAATCATAGCTACAGTAAAGCCCTCAGGGATAAGGTGGAAAGAACAACTCTTAACAATCCTGAAAATATTATATAGCCTAATATGTAAAAGTAAGCAGGTAGGTGCATCCCTGGAGTGCAGCAAGACGGAGACAAGGCACTACTAGCTTAAAAATACATGTGAAGTTTGTGATGTAGGAGCTAAATCTGTACATGAGAAAATTATTTTTTTCAGTACTTATCTAAGTCATAACAGGACTTAGCTGGCTAAGCAGTTTTGTGTTTATATCTGCGGTATTTATTTAGTTTGGGAAACCCAACGATCTGTAGGCCTATAAAGTATTAAGCTCATGTTGGTCGGCGGGCTCAACAGGGACTAAAAAACGGGTCTGTTGCTAGGTCGCTACAATAGTTTGACCTCCTTGCCGGAGGAGTAAACTTGGTTTCATTACATATAGGTGTCCACTGACATGTTTCTTTTCCAGTAATTAGTCGGACCCTATGTATTTCCATGAAAACAGGGACAATAGTGGTCAATTGTTTTTTAATTTTGAGAGCTAACTGCCCCTTAACATCAATACATTTTGATTATATATTTTATTTAGTTGGTAATAGTTATATAATGGTAATATTACACTTGAGGTTGTGCTTTAATGTCATTTGTGGCACGACAGTGATGCGGTCAGTGATGCATCACTATTCTACCACAAATTATGTTAAAGCCCACACTCGAGTGTGATATTGTTTCAATGTGGAGCTTGTAGAGCCATGTAACAGCATCATCGGATAAGCGTGAAATAGCAGTTACAGTTTGCGTTTGTAATACCTGGCAGTACATGAACATGTTGGTGTCCGTCCATGTGATGGGGCAGGTGACCTGTCAGTTCCCTGAACAGCCTGACTTGGGCCCTCAACTCTAGCTCCACCTGGAGAGGAAAAAACGCACTTGGAGGTTACTGTAATTGACAAAAATGACTTCCTCTTCTTCTTTTGGTGGTCACATATTATTCCATACCGTTCTTCAACTTCAGTAAAATATACGTACAAGACAGCAGTAATCATGTGACAATTCTGCTATGTGATTGGATGAGTGATGGTCAGGTCAGTTTCAAGATAATGTTTGTGTGTGTGCGTGTGTGCATGCGTGTAGATTTATGGAAAGCAAAACAAGTGACTTTTACTATCAATGACTCTCTGGGAGAGAGTTACTGCCCCAAGCAAGGGAGTTAAGTGTCTCAGGGTCTTGTTCATGGGTGAGGGTAGAATGGAGCGTGAGATGGATAGGCGGTTTGGCACGTGGTGAAAAGAAAGCTGTGCCGGAAGGCAAAGCTTATGATTTACTGGTCCACCTATGTCCTAACCCTAACCTATGGTCATGAGCTATGGGTAATGACCAAAAGAATGAGGTCGCAGATACAAGAAGCTGAACTGAGTTTCCTCAGAGGGGTGGCTGAGCTCAGCCTTAGAGACCGGGTAAGGAGCTCGAATATCTGGGGGGAGCTCAGAGTAGAGCCACTGCGCCTTCTTTTCAAAAGGGGTCAGTTGAGGTGGTTCTGGTATCTGATCAGGATCCTCCTGGGCACCTCAAGCTAGAGGTGTTCTGGGCATGTCCCACCAGTAGGAGGCTCGAGGGTAGACCCAGAACACGCTGGAGGGATTACATAACTCATCTGGCCTGGGAACGCCTCAGGATTCCCCAGGAGGAGCTGGAAAGCGCTGCTGGGGAGAGGGACGTCTGAAATACCTTGCTCAGCCTGCTGTCCCCTCGACCCTGAATCGGATAGGCAGTTGAAAATGGATGGATGGATGGACTCTCTGACTAATGAAGCTATAGATTAAAATACTACCATAAAATGTACAAGGGTGAATTGTATAAAAATTCACCTCTGTACAGTTATCATGAGCGGAGAAATTAGCTACAGAGACCCAAACCGTTATTTTTTACTAGGCTGTTATTTCTGCTGTAAAGTTGTATATTTTAACATGGAGGTTTATGGGGATTGACTGGCCTTTGGAGCCAGCCTCCAGTGGCCATTCAAAGAACTGCAGTTTTTGGCATGTGTTGACTTCATTTTAACAGCCATGGAGGTAACTGTGGATCCGGTTTATTTGTGTTGGGAGGTTGTAAACCAACACACCCATGATTTGTGAACAAGCTGAACAGGAACTGCGAATGTGTGGCTCCATTTCAGTAACCACCCTCCAGTGTGTGTAGTGTTATGGTAAATAATGCAAACAAGACAATGGGGTTTTTCGTTTTAGTGGACACTTCTACAGGCTCAGTAAGTTTGGTGAACAAACTGCAGAGCAGTTTGGAGCAGTGTACCTGTTTCATGCTGAGCTGGCCTCTCTCCAGTGCCTGACGGAAGCCCATCTTCCCATGGAAGAAGCCACGCTGGTTTATCAGTGTGGAATCTTGCTGGAGGCTCTGGCACACGGGAGTGCCCTCTGACAAGTTGGCATGGAGGCCGATTGGGATGTTGTGCCTGACAAGCAAAGAGAAACTTCTGTTACATCCTGTGATGTTGGCTGTAATGTTGTCCAACAAGTGAAAAAGTCCTATGGGTTTACTGAAAAAACAAACATACATTCGCCTTTTTTACTTGTATGCTGCCGATTACTTAAAGAAAGCTAACATTTTTCTTTTAGCATTATTCCTAAATGTTGTAAATTTTCATCAAGTATATGTTCTTCATCACATGTACACTGGGACCAGCAGTAGAATTTACAAGACCCTCATCAACCACTTAATGTTCTCTGTGTAATCGGGAAATCTATAGTTTGTTTGCCACTTAAATGTGTTGCTATTGACACATACATGTTTGCTGATGGCAATTCTGAAACGTGTGTGTTCAGTGTCTGCACTGTATCTGGCACATGGTCCTTATCACTGTGTGTGCCGTGTGTGTTTTATGGAACACCCAACATGTAGCTGCAAGTTTTTGTACCTGGACTTTGTGCCATGTGTGTGTGAACATAGAAACAAATAGGAGACTAACCGGGACTTAATTAGTTAGGCTTTCTACATTGTGAATCAAACCAACCTGCTGATGCTGGTCTGTATTTCCCTCATTCTTCAGATCAGCGCTTTGACCCTTTGTGCTTTGTTTTAATTCTGTGGCTTTTTCTTACTGCAACCTCAAATAACACATGATATTTAAAAAAAAAAAAAAAAATCTCATAGATAGTGGTGCACAAAGCACAACCTGCTGCTCAATGTCAGCAAAACCAAAGAACTGATTGCTGACTTTACACACGTGTCTACATCAATAGGAGGTGTAGCACGTAAACAGTTTACAATTCTGGGAATCCTTTTAGACATTTGTGACTAGCATAACATGAATTCAGTGCAATGCTGAATTCTTCATGCTTGGCCAATTTTCCTTGAATAAACAATGGTTGAATTTGTGTGACAATTTGTCATAAGGAGCATATGAATTCTTGAGTTATGGCCAAAAACATGGTTTGTGAGGTTGCAGTGACCTTGACCTTTGACCACCAAATTTAAATCAGTTCATTCTTGAGTCCAAGTGGATGTTTGTGCCAAATTTGAAGAAATTCCCTCAAGGTCTTTTTGAGATATCACATTCACAAGAATGAGACGGACAGACAGACAGACGAACAACCAGAAAATGCCTCCTGCCGTGGTTGTCCCTAACGTGGAGGCATAAAAGAAATAGACAAACTAACAAACAAACAAACAAAAATAAATGAGGCAAAAATCTTCCCCCTTGAGAGCAAAGAAGATCTATACAATCAGCACTTTCAATATTAAGGTCACCAATTCAGTATCTGACTAAATGTGTCTCATTCTGTTCCTGAGATACAATTGTAATGGCCAGAAAAGTGTTTTTACAGAAACTTTGACTCTGACTTGTTGGATATATAATATCATCATTTAATTTTATTTCATTAGACAATCGTGTAAAATTTTGTCATAATTGGTGTATACATTCTTGAGTTATGGCCAAAACATTGTTTTGTGAGGTCATGGGGACCATGACCTTTGAGTTTTGACCACCAAAATGTAATTAGTTTATTCTTGAGTCCAAGTGGACATTTGTGTGAAATTTAAGGAAAATCCCTCAAGGCCTTCATTAGAATTCACACTCACAAGAATGAGATGGATGCAAGGTCACAGTTACCTTGACCTTTGACCACCAAAATCTAATCAGTTCATTCTTAACTCCACGTGGACACCAGTGCCAAATTTAAAGAAATTCCCTCCATCTTGAGATTTCACAAGAATGAGACAGAAGAGGGCACAATAATCTTGACTTTTGACCTATGAACTTTAATCTGTACATTGTTGAGTCTAAGTGGACATTTGTGGTAATTAAGGGGAATTTATTTTACAAATAAAACAAATTCTAATTTAAGTACATTCCAATTTAAGTAAATTTAATCAATGGCTATTGCTGGCACAGAGGCATAAAAAAAAAACCACTTGCCGTTTTTTTTATGGCTATTTGGAGTTACAAATTGTAGTTTTTTATTAATATTTTCATATCAGAATCTACAGTTCTGTATTTATTTTTATTTCAGATTTATTTATATTTTAATTATATCCCAGAGGCATGGCTTTAAAGTTGAAAAACACCAAAACATCGTCTTTACTTGTTGCCCAAATGTGCCCACCTTTTTTGAGTGTGTTCCCAAGTCCAGAACCCCCTTCACCCCCTTTTCTAGACCGTCCCTGGAAGGGAAGGCTTTATCTGTAACTGATATGCAATTCAATTGTTTACCCCTGGTGCACAATGCTGTACCAACAAGCCATTGCTATTTTACTTAGGCAGTTAACAAATGTCACATTTACAGGTGATGTCTTAGTCAGCTAAATTATTAACTGCTTTCAAATTTATTTGCAGCGGAGCTAGAGGTGTCTCAATGTGACATCACACAGCAGATGTTTAGCCACTTATGTGAGGGAGTAAATGGTAAATGGATTGTATTTATACAGTCTTAGCAACCACTCAAAGCGCTTTAAAGTACATGCACCATTCCCCTCATTCACAGAAATGCACTGGTCACTGAGGCTACCATTCAAGGTGCCACCTGCTTAGAAGATAAACATTCACATGCACTCACACACCACTGACACAGCCATTGGGAGAAATGTGGGGTTAAGTATCTTTCCCAAGGTCACCGAGACATGTAGACTGCAGGGGCCAAGGATCAAACCAGTGTTCCGATTGGCAGTCCCCACAAGACCTCCTGAGCTACAGCCAAAAGATACATTACCAAACAACCTATGGACACATGGCTAGGTACATCATCACTTGCTGTTTTTAGCTGATCTGTTGTGTGTTAGGATTTTACATACAGTATAACAGCATTTCATCAGCACCTCACCTACCTTTTAGCCAGATCTGCTGCCTCTTTGGCAGCAGAGGCATTAACCAGCAGTGACACATTGGAAATGCCTCCAGCCTGGAAGCAGTCCACAATTCCCTGGTTTCTCCTGGGACAGTAGCCGAAATCATCTCCCGTCACCACCAGCATCATTCTGGGCTGTGGCATTATTGCTGGTCTCTGAGAAGGACACAGAGGAGACAGATTAACACTTAATATAAGACCGGCTATGACTTAAGACGTTGAGCCCCAAATCGTCCTGGATGGCTAGGCCAGTGCCTTGGGGGTGGTTGCTGCCATCAGTGTGTGAACAATCAACACACTGTAGCTAGCCAGTACCTTCTTTGATTTTTTTTTAGCAGCCATTTTCTGTATTTTGATTTTTATATCACTCCAGACAGCCAACTGGATTATCACAGACATTAAACTGAACTTGGACAAAAATAAAACCATACATTACATTTATCTATTAACTTAAATTCACTATTATGAGGTTATAAACATTTTAGTTCAAACTTATGGATGCAGTGGCTTAACTCTACAGCAATAATAAGTAAACAATATTAGTAAGAGTAGAGGAGGTAGTAAATATAATATTTTTTTAATGACTACTCATAGTAATAAGTTGAATAGCCACAGTCTGGGTCTCAGCTCAGGTTCAAGAGTAGCTGCTCAATACCTTAAATGTACCAGCCTGTGCAGGTGGGTCCTTCAGAGAAACTGAGGAACAGACTGAGCCAGCAGGTATGTGGAACAGGTGGTTATCAGTCATGGCTAAATACAGTAATTACACAGTACACCACTTGAAGGTCCAGAGTGTAGTATTTAGAGGGACATATTGGCAGAAATGGAATTAAATATAATAATTCTGTTTTCTTTAGTGAATAATCACCTGAAATAAGGTATGGTTGTGTTTCCATTACCTTAGAATTAGACATAGTATATATACACATATATATGCTCCTGGTAAAACCCTCCTGAACAATGAATACTTAAGGATTTTTAACCAGGAGAAGTTTCATCTGATTGCAATCTGCAATTCTCACCGCTAGACCCTACTAAATCCCCCTGAATCTTACAAAATAGACCTTTAAAGTAGGGATGCATGATATTGGATTTTTCGCAGGTATCCGATATGCCGATATATAACAATCAAGTTTCTTCTGCAGTGGAATTAACATCATATTATGCATGCAAGATCTGATCATGATGCCCACCAGCAGATTGAGATACAAATGGAATGCTTTTCAAGGTATGTAATAATCACACCTTGTGCAAAATAAGAAAAACCATGTTGACCGATTCCGATGATGTGCCAATATTATCGGGCATTGCCACTTTAAAGTATATCCACACTATAATGGATGAATTTTATTCATTTCAGTCATAGCAACCACCTATATAAAATATAGAATATGTAGCAGTGCCTCAGCTATGGATAAGCAACCACTTGACAACTTATACACCATTGTAACAATGTTGTCAACACATCTTAACTCCTCAAATTCTTGTGTGTTTGAGGACAGCACTGTGTTATGGTCTAAATGTAAGCATCTATGTTGGAAAAAGATACATATTTACAAAGTAAATTAGTAACATCCTGGATACACTCCAGCCTAGTGCACACAAAGACATTACAGTATACAGTAACAATGTTGCCTTAGATCATTTGACACAAATACATGTGATTGTAACTGTTGACTCACTGTCATCTTAAGAATGCTACTTCTGTTTTACAGTTGGCCCTGTATAAAATAAACTGGAGATTAGGGTTACAGAAGTGATAGAAATCACTGCTCTAAAGATTTTGATGACAGAATAAGTCCAGAAATATCCCAGTCCAGGCCAGCAGCAGAGAAATAAAATGTAACGACATTGCAATAAACACTACCTGTGGTCAACATGATGCTCTTTTTATTTCTTAATTGAGACTGTCTATGAAACTCTGTGGCTGTCGTGTAGTGGTGCTGATATGATTCTACACTCTATTTTGGTGAATTACATACAGCAGCCTGTAAGAAGGACAAAATAGCCCACACCTCTGAATTAACACCATAATACTCTGGTGTCAGTTCCCACAGATAACCTCCTCTCTTACAGTTAAAACCAAACTGAACATTTAAGGACGACACAACCTTTATTCGCCGGCTAAATGTCCTCTCTGCTTCTCAGCGTCACTGTGGGGCGACCCACTGTAACACCACAAGCCCGTTAGCTCCTATAAAAACCACTTCCCTGTTTTAAGGATTTCAATAAATCTCAATCTTACCCATTGTATGCCAGACGTTTGTCCATATGTGTGCGAAGCCACGCAAACACGGTGGAAATAAACTGTACTTCCGACTAGCAAGCCGCATTGGTGGAGTCCATGAGTTGACTTAACTACAATACGACGCCCTCTGCTGGAGGAAACATGGCATCCCGGTAAGGGAAACTTCAAAATAAGATGTCCTCAGTTCTTTGAAATATTTATCCAAAAATGGATACAGCCACAAAACTGTAATAATAAGTTGTCAAAATATCTATCTTTTGTATAGTCTATGAATATGTTTTAGAACACTTATTTATTTTGCCCTTATCCTATGACTAGGGGACTGTTGCTTCTAAGGGGGGAGGGGTGGTTCAAAAAGAAGGGAGGCATGTCAAATAATTTTATGTTTTTTTAAATTATTTATTTATTTTGGCTTAGGGGACAAATATGTCACTTTGAATGGCTGTGTTTATTTTACAGAATACAAAACAAAACAAAACAAAAAAACAGCCAAAATTACATTACCATAGCCAGACACTGAAAATTATATATAAAGAAAGGTATATTTTATAAACTGTCATCTGATTTTCAAATTTCTGTGAACACATTTTGTGTGACGAAAGCTTCTGTCAGAAAAAAAACATAACCAAATCTGGTGACATTTCAACAAAAGCACTTTATTCTTCATGTTTCATTTAAAATTTTGCCAAAAATAAACTGTTTGCAAGAACCAACCAGTGTGCATGACAAGAGTGAAAACCCAAGGCTTTTCTTCAACTACAGGGTTTTGTCTTCAACTTTTAATTTTCAAACATCAAAGGGTAAGTTTTATATTCTAACAGCTAATTTAGGAATAATTGAGACTGAGGGATAATTGAGGAAAGGTCATGCATTTTCCCCTCCAAGTCACTCAGGGGGCTCAAGTAAAAAAAAAAAAAAAAATAATAATAATAATTTGTAAAAAAACCCAACAACCAACCAAACATAAAAGTCACACTCCAGCTAACCCCCTCTTCTGATAAGTTAAGAACGGTCCTTAAGCACAGCTAAATCAAGGCATGGTGTATTGATTTTCAACATTCTAAAAATTAAACAGACCACCTTATCGTCAATATTGTACATTTGAAAAGGCTTTTAGTCATTTATATGAAAATAATCTTAATGGAAATTTTTTTCCTCACAGAAGGCACGTAAAACTTTTCGCTGAAACCTTGACTGAACATTGGAACCTCTCCAATAAAATACATGTAAACATAAACATGTTAGACAAAAGTCAGAAGGCATTCAGATTTCATAATGCAGTCTATCTCACTGCGACTAAATTTACATATTTTGTGCTGAACATACCTTCTCAAGCCAACCTCTGAATGCTGAGTTCAGGAATGTTAAGGACTGTGTGGTCTTATGACATACTGTGTAGGTGTTCTCATGTCATGACGCCTGAAAGATTGTTCATACATTATCCAGGACCTAGAGCCAGAGCTCACAAGCTTTGGTCTTGTTTACGACCAGTTAAAGATCATATCTGGTGACATGGTATTTTTTATGTAGCCTTTAACACTTGAAGGGCACAGTTTAGTTTTAAGGTCTACCCTATATAAAAAGGTGAAACAGGCAAACGAAGTTGATGTCAGGCTGTGTTAAATGGTTAGGAAAAACTTGCTCTGTTACGCGTTACTGCTTGAGTAGTAAAGAAATGGTATATGCACAAACTAATCACAATAAACAACACAGATCCAGATAAGACCCCGATGCATTGTGTGTGCACAGAGTAACAGATCACATACCTACCAAGATAACTACCCCAGCACATACCGTGTGACTTACCTTCACATTCTCTATACAGCAGTGGAGATATCTAAATATCTTTCCTAAAGTAGAGATATATTTAAATCAACAGATTCCAGTATTTTCAGATTCCAGCACATAAGAATTAAAATTGAAAGAAAGATAATTTCTTTATGTGTGTTTGTCACTGCAATAGTGTCACAACTGTGCAAGATGCAGTCACCAAACGTTACAGGTGTGTAGTTGAGATCCCAATAAAGGTTGAGTACAAAGATGGGCGCGATCTGAGCAAGGGAGCCGGAAGAAAGGGAAGCATGGCCTCACCCACCCCCCCCCAACTTTATGCCCCTGGCCCACATTTGTATTAAGTGTCAGATCGCTGTATCACAGCAGGAATGATCCTATCACAAGGTGGTATCTAGTGACGATCTGTTTGTGGTAGGGCTGGGCAACATAATATCATGATATGAACCCAGATATCTTAACTTTTAATATCATATCGTAAATGTTAGCTTTTCCTGTTTTTAAAGGCTGTATTACAGTAAAGTGGTGTCTTTTTTATTTTTTTTTTTAACTTATCAGACTGTTATGCCCACATTACTGATGATTTTTTATCAACATTTTCAGTCTAAACAATTTGTGAAAGCACCAATAGTCAACTCTACAATATCATGACAATATTGATGTTAGAGTGTAGCTAATGCCTGAATGCCAGACATAACTGGCTAAACCCAGGTAGCAGAAGTCACCTGGATAGCATATCTGTGGTTGAACATGGTGGTAGCTACAACATGTCTCAGGGATGCCTGCAGTTATCAGGGACTGGGGCAATGAACAGAGCAAAGTCTAGAGGGGTCCTTAAAGCAAAGCTGCTTCAGAGTGTAGCCAACATCAGACAGAGAACAGGGCAACCTTTGCTCCTGACTCACAGCACACCACATCTGAGACAATGATGCTTCTTTGGGGCAATTCTGAATATCAGCAAATGGGCCAGCCAGAACCCCATCTGTGGCCAACAATTCCCCCGGAGAAAAGAGAGACAAGAATGGACAGCTGAGTCACAGATTTGAAGCTGTAACTTTTTGATGGTCCTATATTATTTAAACATGGGTCTTAACACACACAGTATATGTATCTGAACTTTTATTACAGATGTTCATTTTCAACCAAGTGCAAACATCCACAACAAGTTCAGAAACATATCAAATTGCTGTGAGAGATGGTTTTCACAATTAAAATCATTGTCACAATATGGGGAAAAATAAAAATAGAAATCTACATTAAAGCTAATCAACAATACACCTGAAACTGGGTGGTGCTTGAATGGGTCTATACTGGTACCAAAATCTGAATTTCAGTACCAATAGCAAAACAACACTTTTCAATATCTTACTTTGAGGAATACAAACATGCTTTTTTACAAAACTAGAATTACCGCCTCATGGTTGTATGCCTCCATGCACCAGTAAAGTTGCATTTACAAGTTTACATCCATGTCAAATGTGCAAATATGAATGCTTCACATACACCCCCCCCCCTCCCAGCACAGAAGAGCTTTACAATCAGCACAGTTTCAAGATAGACACCCAAGTTTAGTGTCACCAATTCAGTATCTGAATAAATATTTCCTCTTCTGTTCCTGAGTTAAGACATTGAGTAATGGCCAGAGAAATTTTTTTTTTTTTTTTTCAGAACATTATCATGTCACAGTGATGCTGACCTTTGATTTAGAAATAAAATGTCATCACTTCATCATTACATGCTAATAGAAAATTTTGTTATAATTTGCGCATGAATTCTTGAGCTATGGCCAAAAGACTTATTTCGTGAGTTCACGGTGCCCTTGACCTTTGACCACCAAATTCTGATCAGTTCACTGTTTGAGTGAAGTGGATGTTTATGCCAAGGCATTCTTGAGATATTGCATTTGAGAGAATGGTATGTACAGCTACACAGACGTATAGATGGAGAACCCAAAAACATGTTACCTCCGGCCACAGCTATTGGCACAGAGGCATTAAAATATATAGATCAAAGACATAAAGACATGATTGTAAGCTCACAATCTGATCTGATTGTGATTCTGACATACAGTAAATTTTCACTAATTAATGCGCTTCAATAAATGCTTTGATACAGACTGACTCAGTGTAGAATTGAAACAGCGTGTCTGGCTCTGTAAGAGGGAGGAGACAGAGAGAACCTCAGGGTTTGTTGAAGAAAACCTACCAGCGAGCAGGTTGGGTTCACAGAGATAGTTACCAAAGTAATTGACCCAGAGTTTAAATTACGTCTTTCCCTCATCCCGGGGTTAAAAAAACTGGCTTTCTGGAATACACTGCAGGTGTCTTACTGTTTTTAAAAGGATATATATAGATATATAAACTGCTTCCAAGTCCAACTGTTAGAGTTGGCCCAACAACACTCCTTTAAAATTAGATGGGTCAGAGGCCACTATACAAAGTGATCAGACTTTGAATATATAAACCATTCTTCATGATGGAAAAATCTATGAAAATAAATGCAGATCAAAAAATCAATACAGTTTGTTTTTAATGTCTAAATAACTTTTGTTGACAGTCCTGAGTTCAGATTCTAGTTATGGTCCTTCATCCACTGCTCAGTCCACTGAACTATCTGCTCCAGGTTGCGCTCCAGGTCCTCAGGAGTGTTGCTGGACAGTTGGTGGACGATGTCCTCGCTGTAGGCCTCCATGGCCTCCTCGTAGATAGTCTGGAAGATCTCACACTGCACGTTGTCCTGCAGCTTCTTTCCTGTGTAACCCCTGTCAGTCACACAGAGGACAGAGTAAAGCTAATCGATAAATTTATCAAGGGTTAAACAATAGAGTGTTTGGGGAGGCAGGATTTATCAAGCAGTTAAGTTTCCTTCCATGTGGCTGTACAGACTGACCCCTAGATTAAAAAACACTGCTTGCTGTAATTTATGGAAAAATGCAACTAGAAATACCACCTCACAGTTGTATGCCTCCATGCACCAGTTGAGTTGCACTTTCAGTTTACATCCATGTCTGTGAAAACATGGATGCTTCACACAAACACCCCCCCGCCATTTAATCACTTAATCATTTCATCCTATTTAGACATTTGTGAGAAATTCTGTCATAATCAGCATACAAATTCTTGAGTTTTGGCCAAAAAAGATTTGTGGGGTAACAGTAACCTTAACTTTTGACCACCAAATTCCTTGAGACCAAGTAGACGTTTGTGCCAAATTTAAAGAAATGCCCTCTAGGTGTTTTTAAGATATCGCATTCACATGAATGAGACAGATGCAAGGTTACAGTAACCTTTGACCACCAAAACCTAATCAGATCATCGTTGAGTCCAAGTAGATGTTTGTGCCAAATTTGAAGAAAATTCCATCAAGACATTCTTGAGATATTGCATTCACAAGAATAGGACAGACAGATAGACAACCCAAAACACAATGCCTCTGGCCACAGCTATCGCTGGCACGGAGGCATAAAAATAAAAGTGATGCCAGGACAGCTAATGGCATGCCGCTCTTTTGTCACCTCGGCTCGCTTCCAGCCCCCTTTGGCTAGCTGTGCTCTTTTAGTGGGACCGTGGGAATGAGAGGCAAACAGTTTCAAAAATTAAGATTTCTCACCAAGAGTAAGTACTGATTGGTGGATCAGATACAAAAACAGACTCTCTTGGTCACTCCACAACTCCAGTTTCTTCTCCTTTTCCACAGTACGAGAAAACAGACTTGTTCACAATCTTGCGCCTCCCCAGAGTCCCCCCGACAATTACTGTCTACCTGATTTGCTGCTTCCTGTTTGGTGCTGGAGAGAGCTAATCTATTGGTCAGTATATGCATGAGCCAAGACAAAAAAAATACGATAATATTAAACATTGGATTTTGTTGGAATGTGAAGATGAAATAAAGAAGTTAAGACAGCCTGGATTGAGAATTATGACCACCTAACTCCAAATTAACAAGATCATGGGAGCGAACACCATCTGAGGTAAAACTCTCATGATTTTATTCCAATATTGGAAATTTGTCTGCAACAGCAAAATCACTTGGAAAGCCATTTGTATACGGCATAATTAGTGGCATATGCCAGCAGAGAGACAGCAGCATGCCAAAAATCAAAGGTGAGATACCACTGAGGATAGGCAAAGACCCTAAAATAGGAGCCGCACACCATCAGTACATGGCAGTGGATGGTGCTATCCGTCCAGTAATTTTAAGTAACATAGGCTGGTTAAAAGGGGCACACAGCAGTGCAATACCATATTCAACTAAGGTATATGTCTGTAAGATGCAGATCTGCTGGTGGGTGGTGTCATCTGCCATTGAAAAACAAAGGACAGGTCATTTTTTAGTGTCACAAACTAGCAGATCAGCAGTGGTACACTTCAAGTCAAGAGTGCCCCAACAGTGATATACAGTACCTCAGCTCTGCAAAAGCTTTGAATTGTTCAAATACGCAAACGAGACCTGAAATCATGCTGGTACTAGTTGGATTGTCCACAGTCAGACAGGAGTCATACATTCATTGCGGTTCAGTATGCAAGAGAAATGAAGTGAAGGTTACCTGCTCTCTAGCCGTGTGTACAGTTGGGTGTTATCTGTGCGGAGGACAAAGACGATGTGGAACCAGCGTTCAGGGAACAGGTCACAGCCATGATAGTCAACAATCATACCACCTTCTACCATCTTCTCATCCAGCTCATCCACCACCTGCACAATCAGAAAAAATAACATTTACATCTAACATCCACCCAACCTATCTGTGGAGATAAGTTTGCTCATGTTGGTTCAACACTTTCAAATTAAACACATTTAAGCTCCCAGAGACACAAAGCTGCCCCTGCAATCCCTTCAATTATTATGACTAGTCCATACCCATTGAGTGCACAGTTGCCTACGCAGTTTCACATGGTGTGTGTTTGGGAGTTTTTGTGAATTTGATAGTACGATTGCTTTATTGAAAGTACAGTAGTAACATTGCCAATAGTGGGATAGTTAGTGGGCTAAAACTGTACATTAGTAGTTGAGGTAGCACGTTGAAAGGCAGATAGTTGAAGTGTTTATATGTTGTATTGACTTAAAAGTGGGGCGCACTGGTAGTTCACATGGGAAAGGTGCGGCTAGCCCTTGTTGCAGCAGCATACTATACCATGACTTAGTCATACCAAAAATTAGAAAAACCACAACATTGGTCCACAGGGGGAGCCACAGTCATCGGTCGCATTTTAGCCATTTTTAAGCATTTTTCTGTTGTTATAGCGCCACCCAGTTGCCAATTAGAGTTAAATTTCTCCAGTCACCTTGAGGCGTCCTGTTCTACATATCTACCAAGTTTAGTAAAAATCGATATGGCAGTTCGGCCTAGATAAGAAATTAGCTCTCTAGCGCCCCCATTTTGTTTGATTGGGTCAATAATGGAGGGGTCCCCTCAGATTATGTGTGGTCATATGCCTACAAAGTTACATGTTGATCGGTGAAACCCTTGAGATGTTATACACCTTTATGTGATGAGCCACGCCCTCCGCAATATTCATTGCCTTATAGAAGCTCAGTTTTAGTAAGTTTTCCAACTTTTGCCACTTTAGATATTGGATATTAGATTATGTTCAGCGAGTTTCATGCAGATCAGTCAAACTTCGTAGAAAGAGATCGATTTTAAGTGTTTTTCAAATAATTCAAAATGGCAGAAAATCTATATAACCAGAAATTATGGGTTCTTGTGGCAAATTTGTTCCTCGTGAGGAGAGGCATCTCTGTGCAAAGTTTCATGTCTCTACAACATACGGGGCATGAGATATGCCCATTCAAAGTTTGCAATTTCAATCGGTTGCTATAGCGCCCCACTTTGGCCAATTGATGTAATATTGCTTCATTCGCATCCTCCCATGACCCTCTACCACTGTGCCAAATTTCACATGGATTGACCAAGTCAGTGAGGAGAAAAACATGGAACACACAGACAGACACACACACCCACACCCACAGACAGAGTTTTCATCATTATGTAGTAAAATAATTTTGCATATCATTTCTCTATATACAGTATATGAAACAGCAGAGGAAAGAAACAGCACCTCCTCCCAAGGTGTGAAGTGCACCAAGTTATGTTTTATGGAAGTACTCCAAAACCCAACCAGAACCATGCTGGTTTGTGGCTGTTTGGTGTGGTTTTGACTCCATTTTAATTTGGCACACAAGTAGCCCTGTATGCCCAATTAAATCTGTACAGCCCTGCACAGACAGTAAACAAACTATCTTAAGTACTAACAGCACGGTAAACAACATAGACCAAAAAATGTATTTCATATGGTGGGTTGTGGCTGAGTACAATACTGTGTTAAAACAGAAGCAGAATGGTGCAATAGTTCCAAATCATATCCAGCTCTCAGGTGTTTCTACGTTTGTGCTGCACAGATCAATATATTATCACCAAATTCAAAGCTTGCATGGAGAATTTTACTCACTCCGTCCTCATCCAAAATCGGGCACTGGTACACTTCATCATAGCCGTCATAAAGTTGTCCTGGTGAAAGAGGATTAGGATCATTAGAACAGCCTCAGCCTCTGTCTGACACTGATCTGCTTTTATTTGCATACTACATGTACATCAAACCAGGGACAGCTATGACAGCACGAAAACAATGACCAATAATTTAAGTAATGGATGACAGATGCTCGTTCCAGCCTGTGTTTCTATTTGTTGTAAAAGCTATGAGTATCTTTACCTTCCCGAGCCAGGTCTCCTATGTTGACATAGGTAAGCCCTGTCCTTTGGGCCAGCTCCTTTCCTAATGTGGTCTTTCCAACACCAGGCGTTCCTGTAGCAGAGAGGATTAACATCTAAGATGTCATTTGAGAACGTATACATTAAGGGTTGCCCTATTTAAAAGGTGAAGTAATGCACACTATTGCTTCATAATCTGATGAGATCTGATCAGGTTACTGCTTTTCAACTTCCTACCTGACATTTAGTAATTCACTTATGATCAGAAATGGTTTATTATGGCATATGTGTGTGTGTGTGTGTGTGTGTGTGTGTGTTATTCTTACAGAATATGCTAAGGCTTAGTTTTTCTCTTGACATATTGACATGTCTCCTCTAGTGTGACACGTATATTACTGTATTTTTTACAGCTCTATCTATCTCACCTGTTAACAAAATGTTTGGTCGCTTCTTCATCTTCATAGCTTGCTAGCAGCCAACACGTGTCTTGATGACAGCCACCTGAAAGACACAACAGTCCTGTTATCTCTTCATGCGATTATAGACAGACTCTTTAATCTCTACGCTAAATATTGAGAGACCAACCTGAAAAAGAGGAAGCTAACAAAATGGAAATGTGGAGCAGCTAGCTAATAGATGTTTGCTATCACGCCAGCCTGAGCAGGCTTCCCACAAACACTGGGGTAAACCGACGCAGGCTTTACGTCAGTTTTACGCCAAAGCACAGTCAGTTTGCGACACTCTGAAGCCCGGAGTTTAAATTGGTAAACTTCACTTTCCGTCGAAGCTTCCTTCAACTGGTCAGTAACGCTAACGTGAACTCTACTGCCTCTTTGATTCACAAATTACTAATTCACAAATTACACCCGAATAAGAGTCTGAAGTGAGGGGAAGCTCCGTGTGTACTTGTGACACATCAAATGGTCAAACAAGGTAAGTTATTACAGATATTATATTAGCTCAACATAAAAACTTAGTCAGCGTTAGCTAACCAGTTCATCATTCTGCAGTCGACATCACCATCCAGAGACATTGAAATAGACATGCTGTACTTTTATCAGGTATTAGCCACTTAGCGGGCAAATGTTTGTGGTATGGGGGTACCTTGGTACATTTTTTGGCAGCCCAAACAAACAGTGAAAATAGAAGTTAAACTAAAGATAATGCCATATAAAACATCAAAAATCCATCAACACACCCTTTCTTTATATTAAGAGAACTTACGTTATGTCTTGTTTCTGCTGTCCCATGTTAACTAGATCACATCAGCAGCTCTGAGTTGTTCGTTGAGCTGCTAACGTTAACGTTACCCTAAATGTGAAGCACCACGGTACAGGATGGACAAGCTTTCTGTGGGAGATAAAGCTGCTCCAAGCAGAGTAAGTTATATGTGTGTACATTATGTGTGTTATGTGTCATCAATAAGCTATGGGTGTTTGTATAAACACACACATGCATATATCATATAACATTACAACTACTGACTGGTGAAGTAAATAGCATTGATCATTTTGTTACAATTAGGGATGCACAGTATTGGATTTTTTTGCCCATATCGGATATGCTGATATATAACAACTCATTTGGCTGATAACAGATACTGATATCAATATATCCACTTTTTTTCCCCACCTAATTTTAGTGATCATCAAGTCTGGGTTGAATCATCATCATATAATGCATGCATACTCTTATCATGATGGCCCACCCACAGCTAGAGACATGAAATTGAACGCTTTTCAGTGTATGTAAAATTCATTCATTGTGCAAGTTAAGAAAAGGCACTCTGGCCGATTCTAATAGTTCATTTTAAAGCTGATATTGATGATGTGCCAGTATTATAGTGCATCCTTAGTTACAATGCAATGTTTTGTTTGGAAACCTTGGGTTCTGTCATTCATGTGGATGCCACCTGACATGTTTCATCATCCCAAACACTGTTCAGACCAAGTAAACCCCGTCATGGCAACAGCAGTCCCTGATGGCAATGCACCATGCTATACTGCAAAAAGTACTCAGAAATGACACAAGGAATGTGACAAAGAGCTCAACGTATTGACCTGGCCTTAAAATTTCTCAGATCCCACTCCGATGGAGCATTAAGGAGATGTTTTAGTATGCCAAAGGTACCTCGATCCTCCTTGGATTTGACTTGGCTCTGACCTGTGAAGACATGGAAACAGGATCTCTGGGGGGTGTCCTGTTTTGTCTGGCACCGAAGCGTTGGTAGCAGATCCCTTGAGACTTGTGTGTTGCAAAGTGGGGTACTAGCATGTCCTAAGGATGCTCCACTGGATTGGGATCTGGGGAATCTGAAGGCTAGGTCCATGCATTGAGGTCTCTCTCATGTTGCTTGGGCCATCCCTAAACAGTTCTTGCTGTGTGGCATGATGCATCGTCCTGCTGGGATGCCACTGTTATCATGGATTGCTGTTGGCCCGAGGGAGGGACACTTGGTCCGCAACAGTGTTTGGGTGGGTGGAGCGCATCACATGAATGCCAGGACCCGAGATTTCCCAGCAGAACATTGCATTGTAACAAGATGATGATAAGTGTTAATCACTTCACCCGCCAGTGGTTTTCATGTTTTGGCTGATTGGTGTTAATACATTCTCACATTGGTCCTCCACTAAATATTCCTGTCTTTTTTTATCTGTCATTTACGCTCACTTTTCAATATCAAACATTCACTTCAATCACATATAATGTCCATATGTGCCATGTTTCTTGGGCAATGCTTTTATTTCTGCCAACCTCAGTCGGTGGTGTAGTGCGTCACTGAGCACACATGAAGGATCCCTGCCTCCTCCTATAATCTGCATCTAGTAACATCTAGTTCTGTCTATCAATTGTGTTCAATTCTACTGTAAATTATAAATGTTGACTTATATTAGACATCCTTCTTCAGTTGTTCCTTATACATCTTTAATAATTTTTGTTTGACTGTACTTATTATAGCTGAACCGCTGGGTGGATCCATCCTTCACTGATTTGCAAGGGGAAACCTTTGCTACGTCCAAAAGGAAAAAGGGCAGCCAGGTATTGCGCTCCAAGGCAGAGCCCAAGAGGCCCAGGAAGACGACAGGACCGGCCATTAGCTCAGAACCTCACACGTCCTACCTCCTGAAAGAGTCAGCCCAGAGGAACCAGGACGACCCTTGGGTGGACAGATACTCGCCCCGTTCACAGGTTAGCATAATCTCTTTTGACATTTGTTTGGTATCCATGGATACATTTGGATACAGCCAATAACTGGTTTGAATTCAAATGCCCTCTCTTTGGACATGCAGACTTTGGTCATATGTATTGTGATGTTGTGATATTGTTAGCACATCAAAGCAGTGAGGGCTCTGAGCCACCAGGAATAAAATACATCATGAGACACAACCTATAACCTTACTCATTACCATGGGTATTTACAAATACCTATTTGTTCACACTCACATTGACAGTCTATACCAGTATCCAGTATCAAGCCTCAACATACAAATGAGCATATGGTAAATACACACAATGTCTTCAATATGATTAAAATCTTCTGTAATTTTAAATAATTATTTTGATAAATGTCTTGATACAGTAAATTTTCTGGAAAATCATTTAAGAAACTATTTATGAATACAATATGAGTCAGTTTTGGCTAATCCAGTAATGAATTACCTAATTAATAAAGATGCTTCATTGCATTAATACGAATATTTTTTTAAATCTAAATCCATAAGGCAATTCTTCTGAAAAAATTGCAACATTGCATGCAATGGCTTTATACACTTAGAAATATTAAAGCCGTAGCTACTGCTGTATAGGTGGTATGACACATTATCATTATTATTATTATTATTATTGTTATATAAATCAGTGTAAAACTGCATTCTAAGCCAAATTGGGTCAGCAGTCAAATTATGTGAGTATCCCCCAAAGTTTAGAGCCTTTAAGAATGAATTCTTTCATTGAAGTTATGCTATGGCATCACTTGGTGGCCAGTGTAGGTGGAAGGGATGATTACAGTGACCACTAACTCTTTCAGTGTATGTATGGACATGTGTATTGTAACCATTATAGCATTATTTCTTAATGTAACATACTAGTTTAAACAGTGTGATGTAGCACAGTGCACATATCTGTATATTTTTACAGACTGAGCACACTGAAGATATATATTTTATTCTTAATATCTTAAGTAGTAGTGTTAACATTGTAGCATAATGCACATTTTTATTTCTGTGTTATTACTTATATTTAGATACTTCTATTTCATACCCCTATTCTTACCTCTTATAATTCTCTATTCTTTACAGTAGAGTGACTGTAATGAATCACAATTTACCCTCGGGGATCAATAAAGTATTTCTGATTCTGATTCTGGCTGAGTATGTGTTGAGTGGCTGAGGGCTCTAATCATAAACTTTTTAGGTGTAATAGAAATTCAAGACTGAACTTTCTAGTCTTAAGTAATGGTTACTCTGCGTTTGTGTAGGCTGAGCTAGCTGTCCACAAGAAGAAGATAGAAGAAGTGGAGAACTGGATGAGAATTCACTCAAACGCATCAAAGGTAACTGAAGTTTCATGTTTCAGTAACTGTATCCTGGCTGCCAGCCAGTTTTCGAATAAAGTCTGTGAACAACTATTGCCCTAGTTCTGACCTTTTTAAAGGAAAAGTTCACCTGCTGAATGACCATTTGTAAATCAGTTACTCACCAGGTTACCTTGAATTTGTGAAGCAAGCGTTGTTTTTCTCGTATGCCTCTATGGTGGACGAAGAATCAGAAAAAGGCAAACATTTGACATGAATTGAAGGCTCTGTTTAACAACAGCAAAACTATATCAATACATCCTTTTACAAATTTGGGCACAACTCCTGCAGTATAATCCAAGTCTCATTTATCCAGTCGTATGCTCAGCACTTTCCAGATACATCCTTTTTTGCCAAAACCTTATGATTTAAAACACGTCAATACAAACAGTCTATTGCACTCCACGTTTGAACTCTGCTCAAGCAAAGCTCATATATACATGTGTGCTCAGGCACGCTACTCATAGGCGGAAGTGGTTTTATGCCTCTGCGCCAACGATAACTGTGACCTGAGGGATTATGTTTTCAGATTGACCGTCCCTCTGTCCTTCTGTCCTTCTGTCCATATGTACATCTGTCCGTCATCGTCAAAGTCATCATGATTTTATCACCTGTGTCATTCTCGTGAACAGGATATCTCAAGAACATCTCAGGAGAATATCTCCAAATTTGGCACAAATGTCAACTTTAAGTCAAGGGTGAACTGATTTAGAATTTGGTGGTTTAAGGATATAATTATGAAGTGATGACATGTTACTGTGTCACTGTGACATCATAATATTCTTCATTGAACACTTTTCTGGCCATTACATCCTTTAGGTATGCTATTTGATTAAAAAATCAAACACTGTGAGGTTGGCCCATTGCAAGGTTTAATAGTCAAGACTTTGATCCTTAAAGTATATTTCTCCAGCCCACTTGTAGAGTGTTTTGTTTTATTCCAAATCTCAAGAAAGAGTGTAAATTATTAAAATGTTGTCTGTGGTGGTCTCAAGTTAAGCTAAAGGTTCAGATTGGCTGTTGTGGCCTGCAGGGTGGGATCTTGCTGCTGACGGGACCATCAGGCTGTGGAAAGACTGCCACAATCCAGGTTTTGTCTCTGGAACTGGGCCTCAGGGTTCAGGAGTGGACCAACCCCACCAACGTGGAGCCATACAGCAGCAGTCAGCACGGTGAGGAGAAACCTTTACTGTCCTACCTGCCTCATACCCATCAGTTGCACTGTAAAAACAAGAACTACCATGAAGTTATTATCATGAATATAAAAGACAATTACCTTTTTGAAGAAAAACTGCCAGTTAGTGGCCAGACAAATTGAAACGAGAATGCTTTCTTTGAGACAGTATCAGATATGAGCTTGTGCTGATGTGTTAGATTGCTTTATTTATGAGAGGTGTTTCTTCTACAATATTTGTAAAAGGGGATGGATGTTTTTTGGGTGGATGCAAGCTAACCAGTGTGCTGTGATATATGATCTCAGGTACTTACACCACTATCCTGTCTCAGTATACAGACTTCTCCATCTTGTTTTTCTGATGTGTCTCTAATTCTCTGTCTCTTTTCAGAATGGAGGATAAATGGTTCATCCTACAGCTCCCAGTTAGTCCAGTTCCAGGACTTTCTCCTTAAAGCGAACAAGTACAACTGCCTGAGGATGGTGGGGGATGGAGGAGCCGCAGACAGGAAGCTCATACTGGTGGAAGTATGTAGTACACATTCACCTGAAGTCACTGCTCCTGTATTTTGTTAAAAATAAACTTTTTTCAGGGCCTTTTATTTTTATTTTTTTATGGCCTTAATTTTTAAAAATTAAATTCAAGACTGTTTAAAGATTCCTGGGAACCTTTTTGTGATCTTGTACAAATATATCATAATTCCGCTTACATCATTATTTGTGCACAGAATTAGTTTAATAGGTGATTGAGGATTTTTTTTTTTTTTTTTTGACACAGTAGTGGCAATATATACAAAAGGTATTCTTTGTAGCTCACAACAATGAAAGTGATGCATGGCTGATAAAAGCTCCTAAATACACACCTGAATTAATATTTGATCCTCACTTGTCCCTTCTCAGGATTTCCCAAATCAGTTCTACAGGCAGCCTGGCAGCCTACATGATACCCTGAGGTGAGATGATCGTTTTCCCCCACATTTCCTTTTATGCTTTTACTCTAGAAGAAGTTACTATGATGACACACAACCTTGAAGCCATCATGTAACATTAAAGACAGCAGCACAGAGACCAGTGCTAGCACTACTGGTTTAATTTTGCAGCTTATAATTTCTCCACGGAGATAACGGAGATTGATAGGAATCTTTCTCACTGCTATGAAGACATGTTTCGCCCTAAGCATTAGGAAGTGTGTGCCTGATGAAAGCCTTTCTACAGGACACAGTATATAGACACAGTTCATACTTTGTCAACTGAAAGAGTAAAATATTTTAAAATACATGGATGGGAGGAAAAGGCAGAATGGTGACCTGTTCCAAAAAGTGGCGGAACAGCTGGACGACACTCGATTGTCGGAGTTGGACATACTTTGGTTAATAAATGGATTCCCCTCCCGTGCTTGCATACTGGGACAAGGACAGTTGTACAATTAAATGACCTAGTCGAGCTGTAACCGCAGCTTGACTTAACTGTGCATGTAAATGTACTGACTGCTATCTTTGCTGCTTATGTATTCCTGTTCTGTGTCAGATTGTGGCCTGCTGTGTGTCTTTCAGGCGCTTTGTGAAGACCAATCGATGCCCCCTGGTGTTCATAGTGTCAGACAGTCTGAGTGGGGACAGCAGCTCACGCTTTCTTTTTCCCAGAGAGATCCAGGAGGAACTGGACATCAGCAGCATAAGGTTCTGAGCAACACACACTGTTGGCTTTGACAGAGGTGTTAGACCTTTATGGAAAGCTACATTAGACCCCAGAGACCGTGGATACAGTTCAGTTCCAGCTGTGGACTAAAGACGGAAGATTGTTTTTATACATTCATGGCCAAAGATACCAAGAAACAGGCAAATTTAGTAAATATGTGCTTCAGTTTTGGCAAGAGACAATATGTAATCCACGTTTCTTTTAATTAAAGCAATAATACAAACACTTCCATCATAAATTCAGTATAATGAACTTGTCTGCAGCACAACTTCCAGCTGTTCCCTCCTTCAGTCCAAAGACATGCAGGTTAGGTTAATTGGCTAATCTCAAAGAGCCTGTTTACACCTGGTATTAACATGCGTTTCAGTGATTTGAGTGGACGGACGAGACACATTGCCATTCACACTGTGTCTATAACGTGTCTCCAGCTGACCATTTGTCCCCAGATTTCGCTACTGCCTACTTCACTTTTGCTAGAGGGTCAAAAGGTGCCATGCACCATTATCACAACCACAATCTCACCAGCTGCATGCTAACATGTTCACTAGTCACGTTAGCGTCTGTGTCGGTACAGCTGGATATGCAAAGGATTTCCATGAGTAGAGCATGCATTTTAAGATCAGTATAGTAACCGATCATTTTCATTTATTTGTGGGAAGTCAAAATCATGATTGTGATCAAAATTCAATTAAATGTGCAGCCTTATGTATTAGCATCTACACTACAAAGGATGTGTGATCAAATGCATCCCACACCACCTCAGCAAGTGGTTTGAGTGATCGGATCACAATGCATCTTGGTGGCTGTCAACACTTGTATTGCATGCTGTCCACTTGTGATCGGATCATCCAAGACGCATGTCAATACCAGGTGTAAATAAGGCCTTAATTGCACATATATGTGGATGTGACCAGAATTGACTGGAGTTATCTGACCTGTGTTTAACCTGTCATTTGTCAAATTAAAGAAAGCCAGCCAACACAGGTGATTCTCTGCTCAAAACAGTTCAGCTGTGTGCTTGACTGGTGACCTGTCCATGGTGTGTGTCCCTGCCTCATGCCCAGTGTCAGCTGGGTTTGGCTGCAGCTTCCTTGTGACTGTCAAACATAAGTGACTATGATAATTGGATGGATAATTCCGTCAGTATAATGGAGTCATTCTCACCACTCTTCAATGCTGTTTTCAGTCACTAATTAGTTACAGCTGCTTCGACTTTGCAGTTTTTTCGATCACAGTTAAGCTACTTTGAGTGAAACCCAGCACTTCTGCACAGATGTTTCACATTAAAAGCCATTCAGTGACTGAAAGAGCATAAGCCCTTCTGAAAGACTTTTAATGTGAAACATCTGCAGGAAATTTGAGTTTCACTGACAGTAGGTAACGAAAGAAATTGCAGTGGAAGTGACTGCAATTAATCTGCAGAATAAACTTAGAGCTGTAGAGTTATGAGTATGACATGACTCTTTTGTACTTATTGAATGTGTGGTGGTTTACATAATGCTGACTTTACCACGTATGCCTTTATATTAAAGGTACCCTGCTGTAACCAGACGTCAATATGACGGACTGTAGGTCGGACAGACATTAAATTTTGGTTGGAATGAAAATCGGGGTGACAGTATTTAAAATGTCTAACGATATTATGATTTGACATTGTGTTGACCTTAACGTTATAACGTTTTGCATACGTTGGGTTTTGGTCTCCGTAACTTATGTAAGTAAATGTGGTTATTCAATGTCAAGATGAAGTCGGGAGAAGTTTGGAAGAAGTTGGAGTTTGGTTCACACAACTTAAAACTAACAAGATATAAGCATCTTGAGTCATCAGTGTTCTCCATCAAATTGACATTGGCATTAGACGACATACTAACATTGAATTTTGGTCACTTGACATTACAACATAATTCAACCAAACACCAACATCTAACCACACTGTGGGCCCGCTGGGTAATTGCATGGATGTTTTGGCCTTCATATGTTCATGTTAATATTATTTCTGTCTCAGACATTATTTGAACTCTGGCCTTTATTTTTAGAATTTGCTGTAATCAAATGCGGATTAACAGGATACTGAACAAAACCGTTCCTCGTGCTGCTGACCTGTGTGTATCCTCTCAAGAATCCTCTAAAGGGAAGCCACTGGATTCCAGTGAACACTGTTTTGTGTGTTTGCTCTTTTCAGCTTTAATCCGGTGGCTCCAACCACAATGATGAAGGTCCTGACTCGAATTTCAACCCTGGAGGCAGGAAAGGTGAGAGGAAGCCTTGCAGTTGATTACACATTTTGGTACAAGTTTTAATGTGTTTTCTACAGTGTATTTTCCCATAATTCCTAGCAGAGCTGTGGGAGAATGTGCGTCCCAGACCAGGCAGTGTTGGAAACGCTGTGCTCAGGAAGCTCAGGAGATATTCGCAGTGCCATCAACAGCCTCCAATTTTCCTCCCATCCAGGTCAGGAATAAAACCACACACCACAGCAGAGGGGAAGTCAAGAGTGTACACATACATATAACTGTGAAATCTACTATAAATAACTTTTGATTTGAATGACCACATGACCTTTCCTCAGAACAACTATTGTTGCCCTGTCTCGTCAACTGATGTCAAAGAACTTCTGTCATCATTGTAACTGTCCAGACACGTCATTGGAAAAGGGGCTGTGGAGGATGAAGAAGGACAGACATGTGGCTTCCACAACAAACCAGAGAAGGAAGAAGTCCAAATTGACAAAGGAGAAGGAAGAGGTGCAGGCTATTGGGGGGAAAGATGCCTCTCTGTTCCTCTTCAGAGCTCTGGGAAAGATCTTGCACTGCAAACGTAAGTCACATGTCCCAGGGTCCATACAAGTCTTTCCTCTCTCTTGTTTGTGGTAGGATTTTTGGAAAGACAATACCTAAATCAGCAATTAATGTACCATAAAACTTCAGTTTGTAGCCTGGGCTGTTATTTGCTTAGATCACTGAACTCAATGGGCCCATATTTGGCACAGGCATCTATATGGGACCGGCCTTAAATTCCATCCATCCATCCATCCATCCATCTTCTAACCGCTTCATCCTCTTGAGGGTCGCGGGGGGGCTGGAGCCTATCCCAGCTGACATTTGGCGAGAGGCAGGGTACACCCTGGACAGGTTGCCAGATTATCGCAGGGCTGACACATAGTGACATACAACCATTCACGCTCACATTCACACCTACGGACAATTTAGAGTTATCAATTAACCTAATCCCCACTCAGCATGTCTTTGGACTGTGGGAGGAAGCCAGAGTGCTTCTGCTAGTTATTTAAACTAGTATGAATATAACTTGTAGAAAAATGAGGCTCCTGCGGCCTTGGGGTGCCTTACTGGCCGCCTTCCCCTGCTGAGCTGGGGCATTGGCCCTGGACCCTGGTGATGGTTCTCATAAACACATTGGGAGGGTTCAAATACACGCATGCATGTTCGATACTTCAGCTCCGTGACGCATCGCAAAGAACTGATGGGATCACTCAAAAGGGGCTCAGTTGCTTCTCAAACCTACCACACTGCTCTGGCAACTCTTCTCCACAATCGGGCTTTCCTCCACCACCAGGACTCTTACATTTCTGGTGTTCAGTATAGACTTCTTCTTTTTTTTTTTTTTCCTTTATTATACATTTATTTGTTGATTTTCGGTGATCTGTATGGAGCACAACAACCTCAAGGCCACAATACATCAGCTACACTGCCTGTTTCTCTTGTTTGTTTTTTTTTAACTCCTTCTTCTCCGCATGCACTGTCGCTATATAAGTCAGGACTTAAGCACCTGTCCCTCAATCCCCCCTGCTTGTCCCTTACTTTCCCCTTGACACACTTTGGTGTATCACGGCCCTCTCTGGCTCATATTAGAAAGTTTTTCCAATAAAGGTGATAGGCTAGTCTCCAGGGAGGGTGGGTGACGGTCACAACCACGCACAGTATGGGTGTAAAATACTTGACTGCAAGACTAACAGTGCATCAATCTTCATAAAAAGCTTACACCCTTTTGTGGTGCTAAGCTACGAAGACTAATGCAGACAGGTATGAAAAAAAAGGTGTTTCACAGCTTTTAATTGAAGTTTTATGGTATCCTGCTAACAAGCACGGTGTGTATATCTTCTCCGTCTTTGCCATGGAGCTCCATTAGTGAACCACACTGTTGTGCTGGGTGACATGTTCCTATATTATCACACACTGTAGTTTATTTTGACTCAATCCCTCATAAAATGTCCTGCTGCCACAAACACTCACTCGATCCCCAAATGTGTATTAATCTGCTGCTTAAAAAAGTCCCCAACAAATACACAATTTCATCCTGTTTGTGTAACTCTGGATATAAACTACCTTTAGCAGCTGTTTTAGAAAATTACTGAGCCGATTTGGATTCATGCAGAAAGTCATTTCTTAGTCATTTGGATTATGAGGATCACAAGAAGCATAATGTGTGTGATAAAATACAGTTTTTGTCAGTGCTCCTTGCTGATTTACCTGGTGAAAGTCCTTTGCAGCTGTAAGCATATGGTCACTGAAGAGGATGACTGCTGCACTGTGGCCTTGGTTGATCACACATGAGGCAAATAGTATGCGTGATTGTTTTGTCATTAACAGGAGGGAAACATGAAGGTGCTGAAGCAGCAGAATGTGTCCATGGACCTGCTCTACCACCTCACCTGTCTGATCATCACAGAGAAGCATTACTTGTGGACCCAGAGGTGCAGACATGCCTTTTTTTCCTAGTTTTAACACACACACACGGCAGGCCCAAATGTCCACTAGTCTTTGAGAACACTCAGAGCTCAACTGTCTGTGTTTCTTTGTTCAGTTGGTTGTTGAGCGTTCTCACATGTCTGGAGAGTTCTTCAACCTGTACCTTCACCAGAACTACCTGGACTTCTTCTCTGAGGTGGAGGATGTGGAGCGAGCCAGCGAGTACCTGTCTGATGCTGACCTCCTCACTTCTGATTGGGCGGTCAGTCTTTCCCTAGACATTAAAAAGTGACATAAATGCTTTGATAACTAGAATCTGAAATCGAATAGTTCCTGTTCTTTGCATACCATATAGGTGTTGCTTTCACATGAATGTAGCATACCCTCAGTTCCACAGCACCACAACACAGTGGTTTATAATACTGTGAGACAGTATTTTACGACTATGGAAGGTTGTAATCACAGCAGTCCATTCTCCTGTGTAGTAGGTGGTATTACAGTGAAGAAATGTAATTAGTAGAGAGTGACAGGTCGGATGTATTAGCATTGCTATTACCTGTTTATTAACAGTATGGGCCATGGTGGATTGTCAGTGAAAAGTAGTCTGTGTTGTCTGTATAAAGGGCTGTGCTGTGTTGTGCTGTGCTGTGTTGTTTGCAGAGTCGCAGCACTATGGAGCATTATGGGTATTCAGTGGCCACCAGGGGGCTCCTTTACTCCAACTCTCAACAAGTCTCTGTTGGCTTCAGACCACTTCACAAACCCAGCTGGCTGCTGGTCAACAAGAAGGTGAGACATATTGGGGCTGTTGCTCTGTCATTAGCTTAGCTGTGGTTTAAAGTTAAAAGCTACAATTAGTAAGTATACCCACACAGCATACACAAGACAAATAGTCTGTCTTCTCTGTAGTGCTCTTAATTGCATCTGCTAGAATCCATTGCTCTTAATTGCATCTGCTAGAATCCATTGCGGCTCAAGGAAAACAACCAATCCCAGAGAGTTTGCTCCGACGGGTGAGTGGTGGTTCATTTTGGCTCAACTGGATCCAACATGGCGGACGGGTCACAAAATTTCTCATTTTACAGCTAAGCAGTACACTTAAATAGGTTTCTGAAAACATTTGAGGTGAGAAATAGGCAATGCAGTAACAGACTCTTGATTCATATTCAGCAGTGCCTAGTTTTACTGCAGTTTACTATGGAGCGTGGATGGGCTCTAAACGTCTATTTTGACATTCATGTTAATAGGTCAAATTTGTTTGTCTTAACAGGTGAAAATATGTCTCAATGAGTGAAATGCGTGTTAAGATGACAGAAAATGCCCTGTTAACAAGTACGTTTCTGACATCTTTAGACGTTTAGAACATTAAAGGCTCCATGCCATTGGTTGGTGTCTACCAACAGGAAAACTGAGCTTTACATCCACCTTACTCCTAGCCCCCATGATACCTTACATGAATATAGGCGCGACTTCTGGCGCTGCACTGGAACTGCTGTTTTCCTATTGCAGCGGTACAGAACAATATGCTAATGGTATGCTAATCCTCTTTTCTAGAGCGATTAGGAAATAATACATGTGGAACACACGACCTGTTATGTTACAGATGACGTGATCATACCTCCATCATCTCTGACAGTCATCATAAAGCATTTGTTGTTTCCTCTTTAACAAAGCGTGTTAGCGATTAGCTTGCCTTGTCCTGTTGGCATATTATTAGATTTAACAGAGCCCGAGCTAGCTTACAGTAAACTTCAACTCCTAAAAGATGAATTATGATTTCTTATGACTCATAAACAGACAGTAACACATGTGGCAAAAAATTTACATAATTCTGTATTAATTTTAGCTCCATGTAAAGTGAATAAATGTGATGATTACCAGCCAGTGCTCTACTCGTCTGCCACATTTCTGGCACTGCGGATTTGTTAAATCGGAGTTAAGTTTCCCCTCTGAAACTGGTGAAATGGTTGCACCCAATATTAAACGTCTTAAGATGTCAGAAATATACTTGTTAACAGGGATTTTCTGTCGTCTAAAGGAACATTTGGTGCGCTAAGACATTATATTGTTACCTGTTTAGACAAACAAGTTTGACTTACTATTACAAACGTCAGAAGTTAAGAGCCCTTCCATATTCCATACTTCATGAGCAGTGATTGACATGATTGACAGTTGTGTTAGAAAATTCTAGGCTCTGATTGGTTGTTTGCATTCAGACACAGTAGATTCTAGCAAATACCATTTGAAGCACTTTGACAAGGAGGAGGACTGGGATTTTTTTCACACACTATCCGTCTCACGTACTTTAATTAGTGACATTTTCAGCAAACATGACAAAAAATGTATTTTATAAAAGTTACCAACTACATCGTTAAGACTGGTTTAGAAGACATGTTGTCGTCAAACATAACCCCATAAAGAGGGTGACTGACAATCTAATGATAATTTGTTTACAGTTATAGATGGCCAGATTTGTGAGCAAGCTACAGTTGAAAAACACAGTCAGTGCAATCAGGTGTACAAACCATATAATGAAGACATATTTTATAAATGTTGTCATAAAGCACAACTTTGACATTTCTCTATTATAAATGACTGTTACTAATCAACTGACATTCTGTATTTTCTATTTCCTGTCATTTATTTGTAAAGGTAAACAAAAGACCAAATAAATGATAAAACAAATCAGGCAGATCAAGCAAAAAAGGGCATCAGTCCTTGGTAGAGTGAAATAATAAAATAATCTTTACTAATAGCATTCTTAACCCTATGGGCCCGAACGATGCATAGTGCGTCCAAATTCACACCTGTTCTTCTCTATTGATTTTCTCCGACCTTGCATCATAATGAGAAGCCACACATATCACGTGAAACAGCGGAATTGTAGCTTTCCGACAAGGCCAAGCACATGACGGTAGTCCAATGTTTGGATAGATTACTTGCGAATGCAGGCTCGCACAGAAATGCCACACATATCACATGAAAGCGCAGGACCAGAGCTTTCCAGTGATACCACACACATCATTGTGCTGCCATCTCATCATGCTATAAATCCAGATTAATTGTCTACAAAATAAAAATAATAATAAAATAATAATAAAAATAATAATAATAAAAACCTGACAAATTTCTTTACAGCCCATTATACAGATCTTGTTATCAGTCACTTCATATAGTGAGGAATATTGTATCTTATGACGTCTTAGGCTTGCGTGTGTTTCTCCCTGTTTATCCACATTTGTAGTCCGGCTTTCAAGATGCAAATATCTCCATATTGTCCAGTTGACACTCCATCAAACTTTGTATGACAAGACCAGCGCACTTCACCTTTGCGCTCCCAGACAACTGTAGCCTAATTATGCATGCATGACAGGGCCGTAGTCACCATATACATTGAGGGGGACACACACCCCCCCTCCAGTGCCCAAAATGCCCCCCCAGTATATAACTGAAACTGAAAAACAACAACAAAAACAACAAAATTTGTTTACTGCAAACAAAGTGGCAAATATTATCTTGGAGGACATCATTGCACTTGGTTGACTATTTTTCTATTATCTTAGATGTAAATATTACGTTTCTTTAAGATAAAACACATTTTTGAATTGTGAATGAGTCAATGGAATTTCTTGCAATAATGAAAAAATACTGGCAATCATGTCCGCCTGGCACAAACCACATGTTCTGGACAACTGTGAAGTGACAGAATGTCCCAGCATCATGGTTCTTATATTGCCAGATTCCAGAGAGTCTCCCCTCTTCATATATGGCAGAATATGTCTTTTTCCAACTTGCTATGCTGAGATACATGTAAAAATGTAAGAATTTAGTCACACAGATTTGTTTTTTTCATTGATATAAAAATTAATATAAAATACAGGCACATAGGAGGACATGAAATGATGGCAAATCTGGATAGCCCAGATTGTCCTAAAAAAAACAAGATATAGCATGTGTATGTAGCCTTTATAATGACTGTGATATGAGCTTAAAAGTAAAGGCAGTAAAAATACCCCAAAAACACTAAATCCAAAAGCTGAATTATGATTGGGTCACCAAAACAACTGGACAGTGTTGTTGTCTTGCGTCCTGTAATGTGTGTCATGTAGATGTAAACTTTGAATGTAGCGACAGTGGATCAGACTGTAATGAGACTGATGTTGTTCTGTTAGCACCGAGAGAACTGCCTGGCTGCTCAGTCACTGTTCAGGAGCTTCTGTCTGACACCAGTCAGCCTGCAGACTGAACTGCTGCCATACCTGGCCAAACTTACCAATCCTATGAGGAACCAAGGTAAAACACACACACACACACACACACTATACTGCACACAAACCTTGGACAGTAATGAAGTTGAAAGTACAGATTGTTTTGAAAGGTTTTTTGTAACTAGTGAGATCAATAATGAACATTATCCTCTCTATGGTTTGCTGGCTTTGACTTTTCTGACAATATAGTTGAGAGGTGAGTGAGTGAGTGAGTGAGTGAGAGTATTTTGGAATTCTATTTTTGAATTACATAGCCAGAAAGCCTACTGAAAGAGGCCAAGACAGAGACATGAATTAAGAAGGAAGACAAAAGAGAAAGAGAGAGCAATAGGTTGACTGCCGATGTCATGCAATTGAAGGACATGTTCAAATGTCACAAAAAAGGTTTTAATTTAAGTCTGTTGTTTTATAACAGTTCAACTGAACATTTTTGCCTGCCTATTTGTTTTGCTACAAGTTTTTCTTATCACAGAGATAACACTGATTTGACAAAGTAAAAACATAGAAGTAGCTTTGCAAGTGGCAGGCTACTTCTGCTATTTTCTCATAGCTTAGCTTGCTACATTTCTTTGGGGATAGCCTCAATGAAGTGAAACATTATTTTAATGTAGAGTAACTAGTTTAGCTCACTACAATTTCCAAGTAGCTTGCCCAACACTGGCTTCATTCATATTGGTTTTGTCATTTTGCGCTTTGGTGCAGCCAGCACTGTCAAACACTGCTGAACAATGTCATTTTTGTAAACTGTAAACAAAGATTATTAATGTGTTGTCATGACCCTTGAATCCTGTTTGCTGTGACAGGCTGGTATCTCATCACATTCAACAGAGCTCTGTAAACTCATTTGAATAAGTGTGTCTGTGGATAAAATTTATGAGGATTGATTAACAAAAGTGGTCTTTGCTACACTGTCTCCCAGCTCAGATAGCTTTTATCCAGGACGTGGGTCAGATGTCACTGAGGAGGTTCCCCAACAGGTACTACAGACATTTTCTCTTCCCATAATGCAGTCAGATTCATGTGTGTCTCTGAGTCGTCAGAGTCTGCAATCCAAGTAATCCATCCAGCCATGTTACAGCAGCAGTCTGTACTGGTGAGAAATATGAAGAGGGAGAAATGACAGGAGTGAAGGACCACAAGTTTCAGGGTTTTAGGATTGTTTATGAAACATAATTATTTCCTCTGGTTGACTTTGTGTTCCCTGTACATGTCAAACCAAAGCTATGCCATTGATTATTTCTATGGATCCCTGTGGTTTAGCATACATCATGCTGATGTAGAATGACGTTGAGGATTCCTGAAAACCAGTATCTGTTAATTCATTTCAAACAGATATTTTTTTACTCTGGCATTGTAAACTGTGTTAGACCTTACCTTTGTACTCTGTCTTTATTTCTGTCTTTGATTTTGTGTTGTGTGTGTGCAGATTAAAACTGGAGGCTCTGACAGACAAAGAGCCAGCTCAGCTGGAGGAAGATAGCGGGGAGGAAAAGGAAGAGGAAGAGGAACCTCAGCATGGGGGTGAGGAGGGACTGCCAGCCAGTCAGCCCCAACCTACGACAAGCCAAGTCCTTTTGGAGGAGGAGGACCTGATCATAGAGGACTATATCAGTGACTAACACACAAAACTCTGCCATACATCCACTGTCATACTGTGACACAGATTCACTTCTTCATCGTCAGTGCCTTTGTTGTATGGAGTTTTTTTGAAATTGAGTATTTGGTTAGTATGGAGGCAGATTAGTGCCATGCAAAATATGAAAATGAGTTCTGAGATTCATTTTTGACATTTTTGAGGAAAAACATTGTTACTGTTAAAATGTTCACTAGTTTCGCCCGCAGAATTCTGACTTCAATCTTTGACAACTTTGACTTTTTTTCCACAGTTGTAAGACTGATCCCAGAACTCAAAGAACTTTCCATGTAACCATAACATCTGGTATTACCCGTACTTTTGCCTTTTTTAGGTTTCATCTGTAAAATATGTGATACATTTTTCAAACAAGGTCGTTGTCCTGTAGAACCTGAACTGAATGTGATTCTGTTGCTTGAAACAGGCTCATAGTACTATGAAAGTATGGGGATAAATTGTAATAATCTCCTGAAGTGACCCTTAACAGTTCACTTGTACCAGTTGAAATATTGTCAGTATTTATTTGTTTTAAGTGCAAAGTGTTCAGCACTTGTTTTTGTATTTAACATCCTTTTGTTTCTCTCAGTGACTGTTGAGCCTAGATTAACCTGTAACTGAGGACTGCCCAGGAACAAGCCCGACCTTTGACTGACATTTTGTTACCATGAAAGGATGGGAAAATAAAGAATATTACAGTAAAAGCTTATTGAGGGATAAGTTGTTTAAATCTAAATAAGCCTGTGAATAAAAATAATGTGTAAAAGGTGATCATTTGGCTCTTTATTTGAACATTATCTGGCTGTTACACTCTCCTTTCACACACCCCTTCATCCAATATTTACTCAACAGTTTCACATGAGGCTCCTTTAAATATTCCCTCTGGAGATAGTGACTCACTGATGCTGGAAGACACTAAACTACTTTCAACTTAAACTCAAGAAATGATTTGACCTTATAAACGGTTTTTAATATATGTTGATCCAGTAATGCATATGTACGCATTTAAGTTTGTGTTTGTCATAACACAAAAAAAGTTTTATACCATACTCTGTTTTCTGTAGGTTAAATGCGGTGCATTAGTGTAGTTTTTATGTCGTTTATTTTTACGGAACGTTTTTAATTATTTATTATGTGTGTATTTCCAGCGCCGTACTTTGTTTTTGTATAAAAACTATCTGGAGTTTATTTTGAAAGTGACGACCGGATGTAGTTAGTGTCTGAGCTTGACGCAGCAGGTGGCATTCAGACTGTGCGACTGGCGGAGGAAGGACTCACCTCATAGTACCCAGGGTTCATATATTGAACTTGTTGGAGGTGTCTCTTCGTAGGTAACATTAAAGTAATAGGCTATTTAACTAAACGTTGTTTTTGTCCGCGTGTCGCTGGAGGCTGTGAAGCACCGAGGAATATTACGTTCACTGCTTCAGAGTCGCAGGTAAGAGGAAGTCGTTTACATAAAAAAAAAAAAAAAAACCCTCAAAACTTTAAGGGAACCTTTTTGTAACAAATATTGTAACGTGTATTTCAGGCTTTGTTTGTGCCTTTTTGTGTATTTTTGTTAAGTATTTTCATAAATAAATCGTCTGGATGTCATCTAGATGATCCATAGTCAGCAGGCCACTGGAGCACAGCTGAATTACTGAAACCAGTATCACTGTATGCAGAGTTTTCAATAGGACATGGCAAATGATAAGGGGTTAAAGGTATTAAAAGTAGGTTTTTTTTTTTGTTCTAAGGGTCACCATTCAAACAGGTCAGAAAACACTGACACCTCGCATAGATAATACTGGATATAATATTTTATACTTAACAACCAGCTTTACAGTCAGTTGGACTTTTCACAAATACTCAAATGTAGCTTTTTACACAACCTGCCAGATTTCTGACACCCTGGTCATAAAGAGAGTTTTTAAGGGGTTTCAGTGATGACCAAAAAATTATAATTCACGTGATGTCTACAAAGCAGGGCTGTCAACATATCAGATTTTCTTGACACAAGTATAGTGGCTTAAAGATTTCATGATATCTATCACAAAATCTATAGAAAATGTTATAATGATATGATATCAGTCAAATTCATCTTTGACTTTGTGTGTGTTTTAATCTAAACTATATTGTAGTTATTTTCAAAGGGAGACTTTTTACACATGCTTAATAAATAAATACATACAAAACTAAAAACTAAATAAATACAAATGCTTGGTCAACCAAAGATAACTCTCTGTTCATTCCTTTAAGAGTCATTCTGACTGATGATGATAATCATAATTTTGTAATATTATGATACAATGTAACAGCGATATTTTGTGAGACAGTTATCGTACCATGAAAATCTCATACTGTTGCAACCCTACACTCAAAATATGAATGTAGGGAGGTTGAGAGGGAGATAAAGATTCAATTCATTTATCAACTTATATATTTGTGAGTGGGGGGAGGTGGATTGGCTCTCATAACAGACCGAATTGGTGCAGATTTTAAAAAGCCCTGACACCCTCATCACTTGTCTGTGACGATTCCCCTCTGCCTGCCAGTGGACAAACTGAAGTTCTCATATTTGTCAAAGTTTTGTTTTTATATTTGTATAACTATATTATTAATTTCTCTGTCGTACTTAAATTGGGATTCGTTGTTAAATTGATATTAAATTGTTTTAACTGTATCTATATTCTTGGGAGTTTATTGTTTTCCTTGGAATGTACATGAACGTATTACATTTGTTGTTACAGTTGCCCCCATATGCTGTTACAGTCACACGGGAGCAGATAACATTGCTTGAAAAACATGTGATGACTGTTAGAATGCACAGACACAATTTACCTACATAAGAAAATAATTATATCCTAATAGTTTAAAAGGTTTTTGAGTAATGATACCAAAACCAAAAACTGTTACATTTGTTCCCAGTCTCCCCTACTGTGGTTTTAACTCTTCTATATGGTATAACAGTGTTAAGTTTGGTGGTGTAAGTATAGAAAGGACTGTGCTGTGATTTAGTGAAGCGCACAAAGTCAAAATGCAGAAAACATAGTGGTACAACATCGTGGTATCTAATCTATGAGTATTTTCAGCATTTGTAAACAACACAACATTCTGATGCCACATGCTAATAAATAACTGAAACTAACTGAATACATGTTCTAGTGAAAAACGGCAGCTGAGTTGGTTGCAGTGACCCAAACCACAGCACTAAGTTAGTTCTTGTAGGAGTAATGATCTAATCCCTACAGTGTCCCAGACCATTAAGACACTGTTTATAGATGATATAACCACACAAAAACTTGGTGCTGTGATCTATTTTGATTTTGTGAAACTTAAAGGCTAGGGGGTAACTTAATACCAATAAAGCAAAATAAGGGATAAAATGCAAAGGAATTCCATCACACTTGTGTAAAAAAAAATATATGTGGTTTGGCAATTTAAATAGATCCATACTATGGTGAATGTAATGTAAGGTCTGACTTGGAGCAGATGCAGGAGGTCAGTGAGGCCCACAGTCTGGATGATGACATGGTGGATGGAGATCTTGGTGACGGGATGGAAGTCAGAGCAGCGCCCAGCTCCATACGGATGAAGAGCCAGAGCTTTGCTGGTCTCACAGAGAGTCTGCTGTCCAGATCAGAGCTGCTCAGGAGTGGCAGCCATGCAGGAGAAGCAGCCTGGATCCCTGGACTGAAGGCTGCAGAGAGGCAGCAGAGAGCCCGTTGGAAGCTGCCGCGCTCCAGTAAGAACCTCTGTAAACTGTCCCTTTACTGTAACACAGGAGCTAAACAAGGATCGAATGGCAAGATAGGCGAGATACCATCAGATTACCTTATTTCACCTTCAGTTGGAATTGCAGACTTTAGGGATGCACAACAATATTGGCATGTCATTGGTATCGGCCGATATTCGCTTTAAAATAAACAGTGAGTATCGACCAACATGCTTTTTCTTACTTTGCAAAATAAATGAATACCATCTCAATAAGAGTGTGCAGGTATAATATGATGTTAATTCTACTACAGAAGAGACTTGATGATCTCTAACATAAAGTGTGGAAAAGAAGTGGATATATCAATATTGGTATCAGTTATCAGTCAAATAAGTTGTTGTATATCAGCATATTGAATATTGGCAAAAAATCAAATATCGTGCATCCCTAGCAGACTTCATGACTTCTTGTCATTTTGCATAAATCAAAGTGTAATACACAATACACACTCTGAAGTTGTGTTAAAAAACATCTTAAACAGTTTTGTATTTTGGTCTTGATTTATTAGGAAACTAGTCCTTAAACTGACTCTAGTGCTAATTGGACAGCTAGCATACAGTTAGGTTCAGTATGTTTGGAATTTTGTGAAATATTTGGGAATTGAGTTAGTTCATTAGGCAGAGTAAGTGAGGAAATTGGTAGGTTGTTCTGAGCAATGCTGTTTCTGCAATGGCAATTGCTAATTTAGAAACTTGGCTTTCATATGAACACATAAGGAGGTTTTTCTGCCCAGATTATTTCCTTACTGTGCTAATTTTATATAAACTACTGTTCAAAGAAGGGATGCACGATTTTGTTTTTTTTTTTCCGATATGTCCGATATATATCAACTCATTTGGCCGATACTGATATCAATATATCCACTTTTTTCCCCACCTAATTTTAGAGATCAAGTCTCCTCTGTGGTGGAATTAACATCATATTATGCATGCATACTCCTATCGTGATGGCCCACCAGCAGATGGAGTCATGAAATACTAGCCTGGTTCCAGACCATAGACCCCGCCCACTCAGCTGAGTAGGCTTGCATCTCTGGTCTGGCATACTGCAATGAATTTGCGATTTATCTCGTCCAAAAGATGGAAGGACCAATGAACGCCGGGGATGGGGGTGGGTCTAGCGATTAGCCAATCAGCGCCACGCTGATGTCAAGCTGTGCACCAGTGAGTAACTGGTGAGGATAGCAACAATGGCGACCGCTACAGATCCTACAGACCACATTAACGATGCTAGCGAGGTATTTCGCCACTACTCGTGTTAATGGAGGACCAAATTAAGGAAGCTGCTAAACTGGATTTAACGGCGATGCAGTTGGGCGTGCACGACGATGGAGTCATTTTAAACTGGCAATGCTCGTTTGTTTTTGGCACCCCCGAGGCATGGATACTAATGACGTCAGATTCTGGGTGAGTCGTTGATCTCTACTGATTGGTTAGGGAAAAATCAAATTCCCTCCCCCTTGTAAATCGCCTTCAATGGAGGCGATGTCAGACTGAAGGTTCTGGGAGCTTTAGTCTGACACTCAGGCTAATGAAATACAACACTTTTCAATATATGTAATATATTCATTGTGTAAAATAAGAAAAAGCATGTTGGCCGATTCTGATTTATTTTATAGCCGATACCATCGATACTGATGAAGGGCTGATATTATTGTCCATCCCTAGTTTAGTTTGGAATCAGCTATTTTACTGATATTGTACCTCTTTTCTCCAATAGTAACTTCTTTAAAAGAGATAAAAACTGTATAATTCAGTCACAAAATATATTATTGACATTTGAAATAGTTTGGGCCCCAAAAGAAGAAGAATGAAATGATTCAAATTCCATGTAGTAGTTTCCAGTCCAGAAAAGCGTCATTCACCCTCAGTCATTATTTAACCACAATGGTGCAACTGGGCTCTAATACTGAGTATTTTTTATTTATTTTTTTATCTCTGGTGGAATTCACTTAGAATTTTGTGTGCCATCAGCTTATTAATAGCATTTTAACCTAAACAAAGAAAAGCGTAAAATTTCCAGAAAGGTTAGTGTTGCCTTAATAAAATGAAACAGTTTTTCCCCAGTTAGGTGAACAACTAACTTTATTCCAATCACAAGTTAAACCACAAACTCCAAACCCACGTGCTTAGCCTGTAACAACCTTTTGAAGTTCTTTGAAGATGTCACTTTGAAAAGGTGTCATTGTGCACAAACATTTTCTGTGACCTCTAAAGCTTGAGCATGCTTTGTGTGAATCATCAGGCTCCCTGGGTGACCTGTCCAAGGACGAGCTGAAAGACAGACTACAGGAAGCAGCTGAGGTAGGAAAAGTGAAGAAAAAAAGACAAAGAATAACTGACATAACTGTGTTGATTTAACTCCAGCCTGGCAGACTTTAACTGATGGCTCTGCTGTGTTGACAGGTGATAGATGTGTTATGCTGTGAGCTGGAGGTGGCACATCGTTACCTTGAAGGCAAATATGAAGCCCTGAAGATCTTACAGGGGAAGGTAGAGTAACACGTTCATACCAAAGTACTGCATCTTCCTCTTCACTGTTCTAAAATTCAGCTGGATTCACAAGAGTGCCCAGACAGCCGATGAAGTAAGTATCCATCAAGAACGCTGCTTAGCAGGTGTCCTTGTTAGGCTACCTAATGGTAACAGTGGTTCTCAGTGTTTTTCTCTTGTGACCCTTTAAAATTAAGGAAATTCCACTTGGGACCCTTTGTGTTGCTGCGGTTTTTAACCCCTTAAGACTGCTATTTTGTGACATAATATCTCCTTTAATCTCGCTCCATGTTTCCTGATGGTTTCTCCTGTTAACTGGTGAAGGCAAAAGGGCCAAAATGCTGTTCGGAGGAACACTGAACAATGAGGCTTGTGAAGAAAAAGTTCTGTTAGAAATAATGGCCAAAGCTATTACAGTAGTGTCCTACTTTAATAGCTTTGAGAAGGGAAAGGAAAGTGAAATTAAATTTTTTCCCAGTTCTGGTCTCACGTCTCCTTGACATAAAGGATGGTGATATTTTGTGTTTTTCTTACTGCCAACACTTTCCTTTGCCTTATGGACAACTCTGGCTTTTTCAGTATAAAGTTGCTCCAAATGATATGCCTTCCAGTCCCTGATGGAGTTTAAAAAATGTGGTAAAAGAGTCATCTTTGGGCGGTTCTACACATCTACTAGTCTACCATCATATTATGTGTGAACATCATACAGTGACAAAGGCAGTGAGACAGATCGTGAACACCAGTAATGTTTGAAACATCTTTGTCTTTGAAGTCTTAGAACAGTTTTTTTTCTCAGAGAGAAGAGAGTAATACACTGAGGTGAAAACCTGCAGAGTCTTAACTTTGTTTAGCTGATGACTAAAAATTGCTCTTCTTCATGCAGGCCATTCTTGACAAAGCCACGAGTCACACTAAGAGTCTGCTGCAGAAGAGTGAGGCGAGGGCTAAAGCTCTGGAGAAGGTAAGTGTGAGTGCAGGCTGCTCAAATAAGGGCTTGGTCTGTTTGCTTTAACATTCTGCTCAACAGTCAGGAACTAACTGCTTTCTTCCTGTTTATCAAAGAGTAAAGGAAACACAATGACACAAGAAAAAAAAATGGTGCTATTTTACCAACTATTTTTCGACCAGTTTACACACACACACACACACAAATATATACATACATATTTATATAAACATACATATATACATACATACGTATATACATATACATATATATATATATATATATATATATATATATATCTTACTATATAATGACGAAAACTCTGTCTGTGGGTGTGTGTGTGTGTGTGTCTGTGTGTGTGGGTGTGTGTGTCTGTTCCACGTTTTTCTCCTCACTGACTTGGTCAATCCATGTGAAATTTGGCACAGTGGTAGAGGGTCATGGGAGGATGCGAATGAAGCAATATTACATCAATTGGCCTAAGGGGGTTTTTTTTGCAACCTATTGAAATTGCAAACTTTGAATGGGCATATCTCATGCCCCGTATGTTGTAGAGACATGAAACTTTGCACAGAGATGCCTCTCCTCATGAGGAACAAATTTGCCTCAAGAACCCATAACTTCCGGTTTTATAGATTTTCTGCCATTTTGAATTTTTTGAAAAACACTTAAAATCAATCTCTTAGGAATATTGACTGATTTGCATGAAACTCGCTGAACATAATCTAGGGACCAATATCTAAAGTTCCTTCTTGGCAAAAGTTGGAAAACTTACTAAAACTGAGCTTCTATAAGGCAATGAATATTGCGGAGGGCGTGGCTCATCACATAAAGGTGTATAACATCTCAAGGGTTTCACCGATCACCACGCAACTTTGTAGGCATATGGCCACACGTAATCTGAGGGGACCCCTCCATTATTGACCCAATCAAACAAAATGGGGGCGCTACAGAGCTAATTTCTTATCTAGGCCTAACCACCATATCGATTTTTACTAAATTTGGTAGATATGTAGAACAGGACGTCTCAAGGTGACTGGAGAAATTTGACTATAATTGGCAATTGGGTGGCGCTATAACAACAGAAAAAATGCTTAAAAATGGCTAAAATGCGACTGATCGCTGTGGCTCCCCCTGTGGCTGAATGTTTTGTTTTTTTCCTTCTAATTTTTGGTATGACTAAGTCATGGTATGGACCTGCATTTTGTATAGCGCCTTTCTAGTCATCTAGTGACCACTCAAAGCGCTTTTTACACTACGAGTCACATTCACCTATTCACACACACATTCATACACTGGTGGCCAAGGTTACCATACAAGGTGCCACCTGCTACTCAGTTTGAACACACACACACACCCAGCCATCAGGAGCAATTTGGGGTTCAGTATCTTGCTCAGGGATACTTCTACATGCAGCCTGGAGGAGCCCGGGATCGAACCGCTGATCTTTCGATTGGTGGACGACCCACTCTACCTCTGAGCCACAGCCGCCCAATCCATGGGCATGGTATGCTGTACATAATCACAGAAACCGTCGGTGTGTCATTCTGTCAGTCAGGGTCAGCCTGGACCCTATTTTCCCATGTTTTTGTGTCTAAGTGATTAATGGAGACCATGGTTTTTAAAATTGGTCTACTATTGAGAGAGAGCGTTGCAGCTGCAATGGTGAAACAGTTTGAATTTTGCATCATAAATTTACATCCACCAAAAGTGCTTGTTTTGGCCACTGACAGGCTCAGATCATTATTATTATTATAAGTGTCTGACATTAAGGAAAGACCCTACAGAGAAATGCTTTTCTTGACTTTTTGCTGGTTTGTTTGTTATTTTGACCATATCTCTCTCAAGGAGAAGTCTCAGTTTGAAATCATGTTGCAGGAAAAACAACAGTAGAAATGCTAGTGAGAGTTTGAGAGAGGAGTGCTGGGAGGAGTTGGTGTGTCAGTGTCACGGCTAAACATTTAGCTGATTTGTGACAAGACTTGGTTACAAACACTAACAAACAGACTGGATAAGCCAAGGGTAAGGAAAACATTTGATTTCTCTGTAGGGTTCATTCTGTAATGTTGTCAGACACAATCTGAGCCTGTCAGTAGCAAAATCAAGCACTTACAGTGGATGTAAATTGTAGGGATGCACCGAATATTCGGTAACCGAATATATTCGGCCGAATATTGCAAAAAAACACACATTCGGTATTCGGTGGAATAAGTTAAAAGCAAGGCCGAATAATAGCGGCGTGTTTTGATAACGCAATCAAACGGCGTGCTGTGATGGGCGGAATAAAATGTCGGCAGTGTGGCGATCCGTCCGTCACGGCACTCGCATTTGCGACTAAAAATATTTTTGAGCGAGTAAAATAGGCTTAAATCATTCAGCACGCTGTGCGAGCAGCCTACAGATTTCAACCACCAGCAGAAACGAAAGGCGAATCCCATCGGTTGTGGGTTGAATGGGGGTCACAGACACAGACAGTAACGTTAATGTATTCCTGTCAAATACGGCGGCCATCGGCTTACCCGACGACGGAGAAGTCGGCTCCAATAATATCCTCTTCTTGGTGTCATGACTGCCCAAAAGTACCTGAACAGCCGAGCCAGCCGAACACAGGTATGTGACGTGTCAGAGGAGAAACGAGCCGTTCACATTTCTGTCTTTGTGTCAGTAACGGCCCACAAACCTCACCGCACACTGTTCTTTACTTATGAAGGGACTTGTCAGGGGAGGAGGGTGGCTGGTTGATTTTTATTTAATTTATTTATTTTATTTTGATTCCCCCCATCACTTATTGATGCTGTTTTTGAAGTATGAATAAGTCAATAAGTAATTTATTCCATTGAAATATCATTGATGTATTATAGAAAAGTGATTTATCTTTTCATAAATGACAAAAGGCACATCTGCCTCATTTTCGCTGTGGTATCGTGATACTACTCAGAACCATGATATTTTCATTGGTATCGCACAGTGGGTCCCAATTTTGGTACCATGACAACACTAATCTGGAGGGGGTTCATCTGCAAACACTAATGAAAAACTAAACAATGATATTCGGTATTCGGTACTCGGTGTTCGGCCAAGCATTTAATAATATTCGGCTTCGGCTTCGGCTTCGGCCACAAATTTTCATTTCGGTGCATCCCTAGTAAATTGACAGTGCACAATAGTAGTGATTACACTACAGCCTGTTTCGTTGCAGCGGCTGCAGCATTCTTTCTCAGTAGTGGACCAGTTTCAAAAACTGTTGTCTCTATTAGTCACTTTGACACAAACACATGGGACAGTAGGATCCAGGTTAAAAAATACCATCGCTCAAAATTACGTTAGGGATACTCTGAGCAAAATTGAAAATTCCAAAGTTCTCTAAAGTATATGACTTTCAGACATGTAGAATGACTGGACATTTAGATAGGTATTTCAACACTAACATATATGATAAATTATGATTAATTTATAAGAGTAGTTAATAAACTCTTAGGTGGATAACATAAAGTTAGTGTGGGTGAACTGAGCCATGCTTGGAGAACAGGGGCCATATAAAGATTTTATTATAGTAAAGTTTGGGGACTTTATCTTGAGGCTTGCATATCCATTAGGGCTGCTCGATTATGGAAAAAATGATAATCACGATTATTTTGATCAAAATTGAATTCATGGTTATGCAAATGATTATGCGGCACACGTGGATGGCATGTCATTTCTGTCTCTACATGCCCGTTTAAAATTCTCCTCTGCTCTCTGTATCGCACATGGCGGAGTTCGGCCCTGATGCACACACACACACACACACACACACAGACACATGCACACACACACACACACACACACACACACACACAGACCAACCTCTCTCGCTCTCCCTCGGCCATTTTCCACACGCTGTTTTTGAAATCTTCCTCGATCACCTGCCCCTCGCATTACTCGTACTTCACCTACTTGACTGGCTCGTGGATTGAAAAGAGGAGGGGAGGGGGAGGTATTGCACATGCGCGGCTTCCGGGTGTGTTTGATTTGCAACGCAAGACGAGAGTAAACTGACAAGAAGCGCATAATTGTTTTATGTCGATAATTTTGTTTTCATAATCGTTGAAAGCCCAAATCGTAATCTAGATTAAAAGTCGATTAATCGAGCAGCCCTAATATCCATCCATCCATCCATTTTCTAACCGCTTATGCTCTTGAGGGTTGTGGGGGGGCTGGAGCCTATCCCAGCTGACACTGGGCGAGAGGCGGGGTACACCCTGAAAAGGTCACCAGACTATCACAGGGCTGACACATAGAGACAGACAACCATTCACACTCAAATTCATACCTATGGACAATTTAGAGTCACCAATTAACCTATCCCCAATCTGAATGTCTTTGGACTGTGGGAGGAAGCCGGAGTACCCGGAGAAAACCCACGCTGACACGGGCAGAACATGCAAACTCAGAAGGGCACAGAAGGGCTCCCTCCTGGGATTGAACCAGGAACCCTCTTGCTGTGAGGCGACAGTGCTAACGACCACATCACCGTGCTGCCGGGCTTGCATATAATTTTATAATTTATAATTTTTATATTTTTTTTTTTTTTATAATTTTATATACTTTATTAATCCCCAAGGGGAAATTCAATTTTTCACTCTGTTGTCAATTACACACAGGTCCGAACACACACATGCACAAACTGGACCTATACATGCACTAAGTGGAGAGATGTCAGAGTGGGCTGCCCATGACAGGCGCCCTGAGCGGTTGGGGGGTTCGGTGCCTTGCTCGGGGGCACCTCGGCAGTGCCCAGGAGGTGAACTGGCACCTCTCCAACTACCAGTCCACACTCCATATTTTTGGTCCGGACAGGGACTTGAACAGGCGACCCTCCGGTTCCCAACCCAAGTCCCTATGGACTGAGCTACTGCCGCTCCCAAAAATATAAACTTGTATATAAAACTAGAGGCATGTGACTTGGTGTTATGTAATATAGGAGTCATAATTCAAATATGTTGCTACCATTTCTTTCAGGAGGTGAACAGCCTGCAGTGGGAACTCAGCTTCAGCCAGGTCCAGATGAAGAAGTCTCAGCAATCCTGGGAGCAGAAATACAACAGGTTCAGATTTACACCACACAATGCTCATGTCTGTGCTATTTTGACTGGTTTGTATTGTAACTTTATTGTTGTTGTTGCTGTTGTTGTTGTTGTTGTTGTTGTTGTAATCAGAATGTTGAGTGAGAACAAGACTCTGACTGACAACCTGGAGGAAAGAGAGAGGGAGATCCAGCAGCTCCGGACGGAGAATTCCGGTAATTACTGAATAATGTAGAATCATTTTAGGTGACCTAGACATGTCTGCACATATTATCTCCACCTGTGAAGTCAAGTAGATCTGTCTGTCAGTGTGTGGAGTCACTGAACCTCATGCAGTTCAACCCTTAGTGTGTGACCCCAACTCACCAACACTCAGAATTTGCATCTAAATAACTGACCACATAGTCCCTACGTCCACTTACAAGATTTTTCCAGAGCTGTCAGCTGCATCTGTGTGTGTGTGTGTGTGTGTGCGTGTGTGTTTTTGTAGCCCGGAGTCGACAGTGCATGGAACTTCTCTCCATGTTGAGTGTGAAGGAGCAGAGAGCTTACCAAGGAACCAAACCTCAGTACAGCCCAGAGAGAGATGCAAGTGTTCTAGAGGTGAGAGGTTCTGGGGGGGTGGGGGGGGGTGTTAGATTCAGTTCAGTTATGTCACACACTGTGTAATGTCCAAACCACTCACATTGTCCTTTCAAAGTGACTGTCAGCAGCATGTTTAGCAGGGTAATTTTTACACTACATGATGAAAATTTTTTTTTATTTTTGTATTTCGTTTATTTAAAGTTTGTCAATTTAGCATTAACATCACAACCTATTCCCTCAAAAAAAAAACCCAAATAAACAAACAAAGAATTCAATATAAATCACAAAAACAGTGAAATTTTTTTTTTATCTATTTTGTGAGTCTCTTGTCACTAAGATATCTCAACCATTGTGCCTGGACATTCCTTTTAGTTTACGATAGAGCCAGTTCAGAGATTAAAGTGAGTCCACAGTTGATAAAGGTTATGTTTCTATATACTCAATGAAAGTCTGCCAAATCTGTAAAAAGGCATCATGTCTGGGGACATAGATAATCTTCTCTAGAGGCATACAAATCATAATTTCTGATGTCCACTTTGATGTAGAGAGGGGGGAATCTGACTTCCAGGTAAATGCAATACACTTCCTAGAAACAACAGGCGCTATAAATAAATCAATAATTTTCCTGTAGCTTTGATTCATTTCAAATTGTTAACATGTCCAAAGAGAAAAAGTGCTGGTTCTGATGGAATTGATGTGTCCATAATTTTAGTGAGTATGTCACACAAATCATACCAAAATGTTGTATTGTAACATGATGAAAACTTGATGCACGCTCTGTGTGATCATGTCAAATGTGAATGTTCTTCAGTGTTTTGCGGTGTAACTGCGGGGCCAGAGGAACCTCCCAGGGTGCCACAGGGCAAAAAGAAGCAGTTGGTCCAGTTCCTCATTTATTTTTGTCAAGAGTTCTTGGAGAGTTGATAAACTATACAGTTTTGGAATAGTAAAAGAAAGTAAAAGAAATATATAAACTAATCTTTCTATTTTTTATGCCTCTGCGCTGTCCATCCGTATGTAAGTCCTATTCTTGTGAATGTGATATCTCAAGAACGCTGTAAGGGAATTTCTTCAAATTTGGCACAAACACTTTCTTGGACTCAGGGATGACCTGATTCCATTTTGGTGATCAACGGTCAAAGGTCAAGGTCAGCATGACCTTGCATCCATCTCATCCGTATGATGAGATAGATGATTACAATTGGTATGAACACAATCCTGCAATCATTGGTCAATTATCAACTACGCTATTTTATCGACTCATCAAACGTAGCTCAACCACAACAGTCTGGATTTTGCCCAGGTCACAGCACAGTTACAGCTGCAGTTTCAGTCATAGATAACATTGTTTCCTCCCTGGATAATAAACAGTTTTGTGCTGCTCTTTTCATTGACCTCTCAAAAGCATTCAATACTGTTGATCATAAAATTCTTCTTCATAAATTACAGTCTATAGGCTTAGATATTTCTTCACTTAACTAGTTCCACTCTTACCTCACTGACAGAACTCAGACTGTTGTTGCTGATGGTGCTCAATCAAGTCCACTCACTATCAGAAACGGGGTGCCACAGGGGTCTATCCTTGGACCATTGCTATTTACATTATACATTAATAACATAATTCTCCCGAATCAATATTTTAATGTCCACTTTTTTTACTGATGATTGTATCATATATGCCCCCGGTTCTACCCCATCCCAAGCCCTGACTCATCTACAGACTGCCTTTGACGCCCTACAATTATCCCTCCATAACCACAGACTAGTTCTAAATGCAGAAAAAACTACTATACTAAATTAATATACTTGGTATTCTCCACTTCCACCACTACTCTGACTATCCTGCCATCAAAACCTTAAATGGCACCCCCATTACTCTCACTGACTCATACAAATACTTGGAATTTGGCTTGACAGCAATTTATCATTCAAGATTCACATTCAACAGTTAACTCAAAAACTAAAAATCAAATTAGGCTTCTTGAACTGGATCAAAGCCTGTCTGTCTCCCTCCAACCGAAAAATCATTGTACTGTCAACCTTCATGTCTGTCCTTGATTATGGTGACATCTTGTATTGTCACACTGCCCCATCAACTCTTCAGCAGTTAAACCCTGTGTATCACAGTGCATGCTTCATTACTAATGACAATTTTCACACTCATCATTGTACTCTGTATCAAAAGGTTGGTTGGACTTCATTGCAGTCTAGTAGAAGTATACATCTCATGTTATTCATCTACAAAGCTCTACTGCTGAAACTTGCTAATGACCTCACATCTCTTCTCTCATTTAAATCCAGTAACTACAGAACAGGATCCAGTAACTATCTAACCTTAGATATTCCATATACACGCACTAATGTTGGCAGAACTGGTTTCAGATATTATGCTCCCTTTAAATGGAATGAACTGCAATCTGCCCTTAAACTTGAGACATTCATTCATCTTGGAGATTTTAAATCTTTGTTGTCTGATGTTTACTATGATTGTTGTAACTGTTTCTGCTAATTCCTTTTATATCCTGTTGTTTTGTTTGTTGTGTGTTGTTTTGCCTGTGATTGTTCACAGGTCTCTCTTGTAAAAGAGATCTTGATCTCAGTGAGACTGCCTGATAAAATAAAGATTAAATAAAAAATAAAAATTTACACCTGGACCCATCTAACCCTAATGACACACAAGACGGCTGGGTGGGTCAATGACTCATATGTGACCTTAATGAGTCTGAAACTCAGAGCTCACATGTGACCACAACAACTCTGTAAGGGTTCACACCCACACAGTTTAAAAGCCTGCGACTCAGTATCAGTCAGTTAGAACTGAAGTTCTAACTTAAGTTTCTGAACTCTTGGATGGGCAGCAAAACGTCTTCAAGAAACTCAAGCAAGTCCACTTCCCAAAATGAAGCACTTACCATTCTCAGGCTCAACTATGTCTCACGGTTGCGACAATTTTGGTGTTGATACCATAACAGATTTGGTGCAAAATTGTTGACCACTCAAGAATCAATAAAATGGTCACAAATCCTTCCAAAATACCACATTAAGACACAAAGACCATAGAAAAGAAATGCTGTCATTTGGTATCAAAACTTTTGACATTTGGAGATTTCTGTAGGAACTGCATTTTTCAGTGATTGGATGACAAGCACTTCAGTTCTGGAAACTGCTAAGAAAACCCCTTGTTATAAATACACTTGTGATAGCCATCCTCCCTCTGAATGCCTAACATCTCTAGTTTATAGGTGTAAAGTTTTATGAGGCTGTGATTATCCTAGGGGTTACAGTAGGTCATTTTATACAGTGAGGTAAATGTTTAAAAAATGGTCTCACTCCAGTGATATTCACCAGATTCTATCTTTAATGTGTTGTAAATGGCCACCAGAGAGACACAAATGGAAAGATTGGATTTAGGGTTTGTGGCCAGTCACAGGTCATTTCAGAAAGAGGGCATTCCTATTGGCTTAGAATCTGCAAATGCAGAAAGTTACTATGCCAGCATTGGCAACAACTGCCTATACTTTCACTGTAGTAAAAACTTAAAAAAAACTGCCATGAGGTTTCATACAAAGGGTCTTTGTTTTACTTGAGAATAGTTTCTGAGTAACTTGTACTACAGAATTATGTAGTGAGTACTAGTCTCCATCTTCTCTGTGTTTTGCAGCTGGCAGTGTTGGGTGCCTGCAGGTGTCTTGGTGTTGCTGAAGCTTGTCCGTGCAGTCGGACTGCTGCTGCCAGCAGGAAGCAGCTCTTCCAGCTACAACAGGAGGTAAACTACATCCACCCACTCCACCTGTCCCAAGCTCCATGTTTTTCTTCTTTTTCTCTCTCAAATTACTAATGCTGTTCATTAGATCATAAGATAACATCAGCCATTGTTGCTCTGTTGGTTTCTCTGTTGTATTAAATACTATTTTGTCCTTGTAGGGTTTCAAACCAACCTCCTGACAACCAGTGCTGAAAAAAGCGTGAATCTGTTTTTAGATTCAGAGTTAACTTTGGGAAATGTTGGCCAACTTCATTGTCACTGTCATTGCTCTTGTGAAGCATTTGTACAAGACAATTTCATTTTTTTTTTAAATTATGTCTTTTTCTAAACTTAAAAGAAGGTTGACCTGCAGCACAGTTAGTTTCTAGACAGACAGAAAACGGATTTTTGACATAACTGCATAGTCTCATATTTAAGGAGAGGGCTCAAAAAGGGACATTACTCCCCTAGAATCTCCAGAGCAGGGTGATATATAGGTATGAGGAGAGGGAAAGCTGAGTGGCTCAGTTTCAGAGTCAACGCGCGTGTGTGTGTGTGTGTGTGTGTGTGTGTGTATGTGTGTTTTCCAGCTGGATGCTCAGCGTGCCAGGAGAGAAGAGGCGTTGATGGTTGCTGATGCTTTTCGTATTGCCTTTGAACAGCAGCTGAGGAAACGCAGTGAGCACTTCCTGCTGCTGGCTGAAGCCAACATCCTAAAAACCCATCACTGCAAGGCTGAAGGCAAGTGTGCTATCAGCTCAGTGTGCTATATGAGATCACAGAGGATGGTTAGGTCCTCCCTCAGGTGGTTTGTTCTGCCCATAGTCTGTGAATTTCTAAAAGTGACACAAGGACCTGTACCCATATAGTTTTGAGGTGTAGACATGTATAGATTTGATTCATAACTGGTGTCATACACTGACCAGTATTAATATATTGGTCTGACGCTGGACGAGCACGTCATTTAAAGAAGCTGTCAGTGTTCTAGCTAAGTCATCGGGTTTAGTGCTGGGATCTGTACTGAACAAAGTTAAATAATGTGGCAACCTAGGATTCCATACTTACAAAGAACTATATAATTCATGTGTTTGTCAATTCAGTGCTTACTGGATGTCCATAAAATAACTTCAGTTTTGGCCATTATTGGGGATGTGGGGTGTGAACTTCCAAACATCAGATATAAATGTCAAATGCTCTGGTTTTGGAATAGACTTGTGAAGATGTCCGATCAGAGATTCATTATAAAGATATTTATTTGGGACATCTGCCACTGTCATCTCTGGGCTAATGAGTTGAAATCTTTATTTTATTTGAATAACTTGTCATTTATTTTCATGGTAATCTGTGACATCCAGGAGATTAGGAGTAAAATGTTTCTCATGTTTAGAGAAAAATTGTCTGTTGACAAATGGTATGAAGGAAAACTATGAACTCAGTGTCAACTCAAATTGGTGGCTTATGTGAAGTATAATCTAAACAAAGGACAAAGATCTGTATTGTGCACAGTTGCACTGAGTGATGTTACCATTAGCCTTGAGGACTGGAAGGTTTAATCCCACCCCAAAGGAGGACAGGGTGCTTCTCAAACAGGAGTCCATACTGTTTCCCTGTCACAGTCAGGGATTTACTGTCTAACACTCACTGATTTCCCCAAGAAGCCGTAAATAATTCTTGATTTCAGTGCCTTATAGTCTCCATTTATTGAAACTGTTTTTCCTTCCAGTTGCTAACAGGAGTCCTTTGCTCAGTGTAAGCCAGAGGTTGAGAGGATTACTGCCTTCCAAGATGCCTGATGATCTTTTAGAGACTCTCTACAGACTGCTGGACTTGGCGAGTATCTTCTTTAACATCTACAGGCCTGTTATCTCGAGATCACAGAGACTGTATGAAACTTGAGGATGTCCTTATGTTTTATTGCAGTGTTTGACCCTCTGCAATGTCATTCTTTTCATCACGTCAGCCCCCTTCCAGTTCCCTGTCAATGCTAACGCCAGGGCCACACTGCCAGCAAAGTGCTGTGAAGCGCAGCGCACCGAAATTCTCGCGCGAGCCTGTTCACACCAGACGTGCATTTCTCCACGCCAGTCAACAAGCGCTTCTGCTCCCAGCTGTTGTCTCCGTCACATTTGGGGCTGTTTTCCATCATGGGTACCTCTCTCTGTTTGCCTGTGTGTGCCCCAACCCCCACTCTGTTGTCTCTTCTTATCGCAGCCAACCATTTATGCCGCCGGTCTACATCCTTTGGGATGGAATAAAACTGCAGTCTGGGGTTTCTTTGTCGAATGGTATCACAGCCAACAGCACAATATATTCCTGGCATCCTTCAAGTAACATACATTTTCGGTCTCTCGCTGATTTTCCTCCTACTCTACTTGTTTTGGTAACGTGACAACACTGTGACTGCTGTGAGCGGACCCAAATATGGCGGCGTGAAAACACTGTGACGTCATGTGGTCTTGATGAATAGCCGGCCCACACTCACTCTCTCTCTCTCTCTCTCTCCCTTTCTTGTGTGTGTGTGTGTGTTAGTGGGTGTGTGTGTGTGTGTTCATCTCTCTCGTGCTCTGTTTATATACCACTGATTAATATGTATAGCCTATATTCCTGCCCGGCTTGACACATTCGTTGTGGCTCGCGCAGAAAATAGACCAGACGCCGAAACAGTTGGCCGCGCCGGCCATGGAGCTGCGCGGTGCGGCCGGTGTGGATGACACAATCGGTTAACATGGGCGCCGAAAGGAAACTGGTTTCACTTCTCGGCGCTTCGAGGCTATTCGCAGCGCTTCCGCGTCCAGTGTGGCCCTGGCGTAAGGCCTCAGTTGGCTTTAAACAAACTAGTTCATACCACATGATGTCTGTCTAAAGTCAGGAGTCTTTCAAACTGTTCTGAATGGCCACATGTGGATTCAGGAAGGAAAGCCTGTCAGAGGGGAGGGCTTGTTAACAGACAGTTGGGTGGACAGGACAAGCAGTTTCCAGCTGTTCTACTTCTTCTGCTTCCTCTTCAACTTCCTAATTTTACTGAGCACTCCAACATTCATACTACCATACTATTTAGTATGCCAGAAAAAGGTTTGATATGTCCCAGTACATAGTATGTCAAATGAAGCATGCCAAAAATACCAGGATGTCTAACCTGTGTAACACAACAACAGAAAGTTTGGTTGAAACAGCACACAGTGGTGTTGATACATTGGTCTGTTTGCACGATTAAAGGCTGTAAACTGATCATTGGCTTCAGTCCTTTCTTCTCCCTTGGCAGCAACAGAAAGTTTGCAGATCCAGCAGGGAGTCAGGGCTGCTGCCTGCTTTCCTCCCGGCAAGGTGGTCTGTAGCGGTGAGGAGTGAGGTGAAGGACATACTGTGATTTAAGGCTCTAGCTAACGTCAGCTACATAAATGTGAACTTGAAGCTGCAGACATGAGCCTTTAGCTCCGGTTAGCAGAAGGCTAAACTATTAGCAACATTTTATCTCAATCTCCGAAACCCCGAGCTGATATTGACAAGTGTTTTGTTCTGTTTATTGTTAGTTTTGACGATCTTTTAGATTCTTTTTGATAAGTCTGTCCTCCTTTTCAGAGTTGCTTTGCAGTGTAGGGAGTTGCTGCCAATGTTGGAATAGTAACTTTCTCTGTAGAATTCTCTACCATTGAATCAGGCTTTTACCATCTGAAGGGACATACACACACAACAACAGCCAATAGGAATGGCCTGTCTCTGAAATGACCTGTGATTGGCCAAAGTCTCCTGCCGTGGACTAGATTTTCTAAAGCCTGAAAACAGAGCCAAGAGGAGGGGCAGAAGTCTATTTTTCTCTCAGTCAGTTTGAATTACAACATGTTCAAAGTCCATTATGGGATTTTTGTCCAGTGATGACTCAATGAAACTGCCTACTCCAGCTTTAACTGATAATAGAGAATCTATCAAATGAGAAATAATGGGACAAATTGATCCCTTGCAGTTTTTAAGTGCTCGATCCTCCAGCCTGTATGGAAAGGTAATGGTACACCATGATGAGGAATGATGAGAGAGAATCTATATCAACAGTGACCGTAAAACAGAACTCCAAGCATACAGTTTAAAGATGTGAGAAGTGAGAGTCTGTGGAGCGTGAATGCTCTAACAGGAGTTTACTTGTCAGCCTCTTTATATATTTTTTGCTGGTATGCGAAGAAATCCTAGAACTAACACATGCAACACAAGAAAGAGCATTCAAATTAAGAAGAAAATAAAGTTGGAAAACCACTGGAGAAATATATTTCAGTTTAAAAGTCAGCTATTTATGGTTATTGTAGCCATCATTAGCATCTTTGCTCATCTTTAAGTGGACCGATGATTAATCTGAGTACAGGGCATTCTGAATTCTTGAATGCTTCAGTAACTTGTTCTTCATTCATTTGTTCATGATCTAAAACATAATTTCTGCCTTACCTCATGCATAAACTCTACACCCAGTTTTAGACTAATCTTTGCTGTTCTGCAGCTTGTAGAGTAGATGGAGCTAAAGCTCGCTAAAGTTCCTCATGTAAGAGTCGTCAGTAAGACTGTTTTTGTCTCCAGAGAGAATGATTTTTCTCCTTCATTAATGCTGTGTTTCCTGTTGTAGCTGAATGACAAAGAGGAGGCCCTGGCCCACCAGAGGAAGGTGAGCATCATGTTAGCCCACAGTGCTGAGGAGCTGCAGAGACAGTTGCATCTAGATTCACAATGCTGCCCATCAGACCCATCAGACAACCAGAGCCAGTGTCAGCAAACATCTCATACATCAGAGTCTCAGCTACAACCACAAGTCTCGTCAGAGTCCAACATCCAAGCACAGCAACAACTAGTTCCACCAGATTCCCCGCTTCAGCCAGGACAAACACCATGTCTGTCAGAGTCCAGGACTGAACCTCAGGAGCTGTCAGACACATCGCAGTCCAACATCCAGCTGCTGTCCAACCATGAGAGCAGTGAGCCTGAAATCCAACAATCAGACCAAACAGAGTCCTGATCCACCCACAGGATCAATCAGACTCCACACCTCAGCTACAGACGCAGCAGTCAGGATTTGAGAACATGGGAAGATGCAGATGTCTTATCTGTGATGTCACACAGGCTGTATTTGAAGGAAGGGTGTGAAATTGTATGATTTGACCTGACTGCTCACTGTTGTTGTCCCATCAGCTGCTGGATGGAAAACACCAAACTGTTGTCCTTTAGAGAGGAAGGGTAGCAGTGCTGAGGCTGTGATGTCCAACCCCACACACACCTTTACCACATCTCTAAAACATACTTTTTACTACTAGATTTACATCTGGAAAAGCATATGAAGGTGTGAATGTCTATTATCATTTTCCCAGACCTTGTGAAGAACATCTCAGGTGTTACTGATATAAAGCATAGCTCTGTTCGGTCTTTGAAGTGGAAAAAGCATTTAGCTGGAATAGTTGAGAAGAAAATTGTCAACAGTTTCAATGTTTTTCACTTTGAAAATCAAAAACAGAGACCAGTGACAGTTTGTCCAGTCATGAGTGACTAGTGTAGGAGTAGGAAGGGTCTTTGTTGGTGTCTGAGCTCAGGAGAGGAATGCCAATCAGCATATTTGCTCCATGCAGATGCCTGTCATGTTTTACCAGAACATAGTGAGAGAAATCACTGGTTTGCAGTCTTTGGCAAACAGTTTGAAAAAACTTACTGTCTGTGTTTAAGTTTCAAAGAACATTGTAGGGAGGAGGGGTAGGTAGATGGGTTAATAAAATGTGACATGACTTTATTGATTTTTTCCTAAACCTGCCTACCTCAACCAATCACACATGCATTGTAGTTTATCCTTAATTGTCACATTGGCCTCTACAGACAGGCATGCCCACTGCTGCCCTATTCCATTGTTAATGTGTATTTTATGTGACAGAAGAAGTACAGGATTGGTGATTTATTTTGAGAGCTAACTTGTATGTTAACAATCAAAGAAGCTAACACAATGGCTGACTTGCTGTGACTCACTCACTAGTTTTCAGTCTGATAAAGATCCAGTGCGTATTGAGGGGTTTACAGGGATATATTGGCAGAAATGGAATATACTAAGTACGTTTTATGTTTTGTAGCACGGAGGTGCAGTGGTTAGCATTGTGGCATCACAGTAAGAGGGTTCCTGGTTCAAACCTGGGGTGGGGGGTTCAAACCCCGTGGTGGGGGACCCCCTCTGTGCGGAGTTTGCATGATCTCCCCATGTTAGCGTGGGTTTCCTTAAGGTACTCCAGCTTCCTCCCACAGTCCAAGAAATGCAGGTTAATTGGTGACTCCAAATTGTCCGTAGGTGTGAATGTGAGTGTGAATGGTTGTCTGTTTCTATGTGTCAGCCCTGTGATAGTCTGGCAACCTGTACAGGGTGTACCCCTCCTCTCGCCCAGTGTCAGCTGAGATAGGCTCCAGCCCCCCCCCCACGACCCCCAGAAAGATAAGTGGTTATGGAAAATGAATGAATGAATGAAGTATATTTTCTTTAGTGTATGATCACCTGAAAATAAGAATTGTTTTGTTTTCGTTACTTTAGAATGAGCTGTTTATATCCACATAGGAAGCAGGTCCTCATCCACAAAGTCTGCCATGTTGCACCGTCATGTCTCTACAGTAGCTCAGAACGGACAAACGAAACACTGGCTCTAGATAACGACATTCATGTTTTTGCACGAGTTAGAAGCTTCTCCATGACAAGCAGCGTTAGAGTAACACTGATTTTTTAAACATGAGACAGCTTTATTCAGTGTTTTTACCAGTTTAAATTCCTGAGTGCATTGTATTGGAGAGGAAGAGACCTCTGCAGATAATTCGGCTTATGGTAAAAACCTACTCAACTTCTGGATTAGAAATAAAGTGAGCACACATTAGCAGGGCTGGGCGAACAGCCCATCTGCTACATGGCAAACAATTTTGAAGAAACACTGATTTATAAGGTGAGACTCCTTTATACAGTGTTTTCACCAGTTTAAATCACCTGGTCTTTTTTTGAAGAGAAAGAGACCTTTGTGGATAATCCAGCTTCTTGTAAAAACCTGAATAATGAACACTGTAGAAATTATAGCAAGGAGTTTGAGCAGGTTGCAATCTGTAATCCTCACCACTAGATGCTACTAAATCCCCCTAAATCTTACACACTGGACCTTTAAGTACAGTATATGTTATTTTATTTTCACCTGTGTATCACCCTGTATCTTTTTACTTCATTTTTTTAAGAATGATATCTTATGCTTTCATTTTGAAATGCAGATGCAGATTCTGGAAGCCTTAAAAATGGTGAACAAGGTTCTCAATGCAACAGACAGTCACCCATTCTGTGCTGTTAATAATTTTATGCATTCCATAATATTTTTAACTTTAAGTTATTGTGCAACCATTTGAACTCAAGCAGCTGTAATAATATGACCATATAAGATGATAACTCTTTAGATCATATCTATCCTGCTGTTTCAGCTTTTGACTGGGAGCTGATAAGATCTTACCAGTATGTAGTTGAGAAATTCAGTATGTTCAGTTTGGATGATTTCATGAAATGTGTGAATATGCAATGCAACCATTAATACCTACATATCCAAATTCAACTGGAAGCAACTCAGGTTTGGTGTTTTCACTGGACTGATTAATCAGGTCACATGTAATGGAGACTCATGAGATAATGTGAATATACAAAGTTAGTGATAGTTACACCCCTGGGGCTGTATTCACAAAGCTTCCTTGTTTTAAGAGTTGCTTCTAGTGACGGCATTCTAAGAAGATTCTTAGAATTGTGACGTTTTCTTAGAATTTCCCCTCAAAGTCAAGACTAGGTCTTTGTAAAGATAAAAGTTATTCACAGAGCATCTTAGACCTTAAAAGAGCTCCTATGGTGAAAAACTGTTAGGTGCAGAGAGGAGAACTTTTAAGAGGCTAAAGAGTTTTTTAAGCAGAGGAGAAAATGGTGAAAAGACAAAGAGGCTGGAAAAATATTCTCCAAATACAGGATGTGAGTAACAACATTAACAATCTTAACACTTTCACAGTCAGCAGTTCATTTCATTTCCACTGGGTGTCCAAACCTTGCAGGCTCACAAAGGGGCGTGTCGGTGACAACCAATCACACCTGTATAAAGAATGCATCATACCTAGCAACAGGGTCAACCACACCTCTCCACTTAGGTAAAAGTTTCTGTCTCCTCCTTGGTAAGAGTTACCCTGAGAATTTTCCTAAATCAATTCAAAGCTAGGACTCCTTACTATAAACTTTCCAGCTAAGTTAGGAGCTCTCTGAAAGTATTCTCAGAATGTTTGTAAATACAGTCTCTGACCTCTATGGCAAAATTATGGCATAATGAGAATCATGTATTTATGTTTTTGAAAAACTCCTGTCACAAGTCTCTTTGTAAAGCACAAATGAAACATTATCATCCAGTTGATCTAAAACAAAATGTAATTACATGAACACAGATGCTTTAGTGTGCAAATACTGGCAAGCATTAGTGATCAAAGCATTATTAGTGTGTATGCATAATGGTATTGTTATTGTTAACAGAGGTTCTTTACAGTTTTTTTAACAGCTTGTATAGTGATACGAGACACGAACCTACAATGCATTTAGAAAATAAAACGGTGAAACTTGAAGATGTGTGCCCTTTGACATGTACACTTTCTTATTGATGTATATGACTGTAACATGTTGCCAAGCTGTTGCTGCTGTTTTGTTATTTCTCTTAAGTGAAATGATTTTCAAAGATTTGTATCTACCTAATGGCATTGGTAAGTCATCTGAAGTCAAAATTCAGTTCCATTTTATTTTACTTTTACCCAGGAAGTCCCATTAGGATTGAAAACATCTTTTACAAGAGAGACCTGGCCAAGGTAGCAGCCAATCACAACACACTAAAAAGCACCAAATACAGTATAGCATACAAAAATCCACAATTCACATTCTTTATGGTGCCCTTAAAGGCATCTATGGATTTAAGTGTTTGTAATTTTTAGATCTTTCTGAAGATTGTTCCATGCCCATAGTGCATACCGTAAAACTTCAATTAAAAGTCTGGTTCCAATTAAACACCCAGTCCCTTTTAGTAGCCTAGTGTGGCTATACTTTTTGACAAATAAACGTCTGTCTCAATGAGATCCCAAGCAGTTAATTTTTTATAGTTCTTTGGTTGCATGACACCAGGGGCCTATTCACAAAGCTTCCTAGTAGAAGAGTTGCTCCTAGTGACAAAATTATAGGAAAATTCTTAGAATTGTGATGTTTTCTTAGAATTTCCCCTTAGAGTTAAGATTAGATCCTGTGTAGTGTAAGATTTAATCATTGATCAGGTAAATGCTCATATTACGTAAGTTGATTAAGGTTAAAGTTCATATAATAATGTTTTTATGTATCCATGTGTGTCAGAACACTTTTACACAAATTTATGTATTCAGATATTGAGAACACACACACACACACCATACTATGTACTGCCTGAAAGTGTAATAATGCACACACACACACACTAGAGTTATATTGCATGAAGGCACAGGGGACCCTATAGTAATAGTCCCCAAGTTTCATATGTTTTTTTTTTTTTAAAAAATAAGGTGAAACAGAGTTCAAACCTAATGGTGGGGATTTCCAGGATGAGGTAAAAGGATTACACCATTAAAACATGCCCAGGCATGATCTGGACAAAAGCAAAAGGGCCTGCCACCAATAGGTTTGGGCTCAGGAAGGAAGGGCTAAAGGAAAAGGGAGAGCTCAGAAAGCGATACTTCAGTCTTGCTCTGGAGCCTGACTCATGAGTTGTATGTGTTGAAGCTTGTGGACACATTAAACTCGATTGCACCAGATTCTATTTGTCTCCAGTGTTTCTCTAAGTGTAGCCAACTGAACCTAAACTACTAAAATCAACTCAGAGGACGATCTTGAAGAGAAGTTGAGGACGAGGTCGGGAGCCATCTGGCCCAGTTCCAGGCACAGATTTTCGCCTCTACACCTGGTAAAGCTTAAAGTTATTCACAGAGCATTTTAGACCTTAAAAGAGCTCCTAAGGTGAAAAACTGATTGGAGTAGAGGCTTAAGTTTCTTAATCAGAGGAGAAAATGGCAGAAAGACAAAAAGGTAGGAGAAATATTCTCCAAACACTGGATGAAATGAATGAATGAAATGCTACAGATTTGATCATGCAGGGATAATATGTGTGGTTGATCTCATTAGGGGTACACACACATTTGCCATCACACCTGTTTAAAAATGCATCATACCCAGCAAGGGGATCAACCACACCTCCTCACCAAGGTTAAAGTTTCTGTCTCTTGCTCAGAGTTGCTCTGAGAACTTTCCTAAATCACTTCTAGGCTAGGACTCCTTGCTAAAGATTTTTAGGCTAAGTTAGGAGCTCTCTGAGAGTGTTCTCAGAATGTTTGCGCACAGGGCTCCAGGTTGTTGGCTACCCACCTGGGCCCGTATTCACAAAGATTCTCAGAGTCCTCTCAGAGAGCTTCTTTTATTTTTTTTTATTTATTTGTTTATTTGAAGGGACAGAGCATATTAATAGACATTTCTGTAAATATGCCAGATTTAGCCAAAGGCTAATTTTCATCCGTTGTCCCTGGCCAGGTGTTACAAAGGCTCCCTGAAATAAAACAAAGTAGAACTATGTTGAGGGAACAAATATCAGTCTTATCTTAAAGCACCGATCAATAAACTACAACTAATTAAAATTGATTAGTGTGTGAACAACAAGTAATAATGACATTGCTAAAATTAACATACAGTTGACAACAAGACAACATAAGACAGCCTTACAATTAATACAGAACACAAGGGACAATACGAACTTCACAGCAAGCAAATAAACATGCAAGCAAGAAAGCAGTTAAAAATATGTATGCAAGACAATACGTAATTAAAACATAAGCAAGCCAACCCTCCACGCAGCATGCTGGTTAGACATCAGTCAGATCCAGAGTGACTAGCCCAGAGTGCATACAA